AAGCTCTTTTATTTGATATTTTCTAAACGCACTTTACAGTTCTTTGTCATTTAATTTCCATCACAATCTTTATGAAAACTCAATTATATTTCAATATACTTAGTAAGCATATGATTTGGAATTTCCATTGAAATCGTTCCTCGTGGGATCGACTTTTATTTAATCGAAATACTATACTGCGATTGATAATTTTGCTAAAGGAATATAATGACAATTTTAAGCTCATAAAGTCTAACACATTTATAAGGTTGTAAGGATATATATATTTGTGACCAGTGAGAAATTTTGGGAAATTTTGGGTCATGCATATATATGATACATAATTAAATGTGTTAGAGTAATTATTTATTAAGTTAAATAATAAAGTTATATGAGTAAATTAAAGTTTTGGCTAAAGGCATATGTCATGAAAATAAAATTGTGTAGAGACCATTAAAGTAATTTCTGATTTGATGAAGGACCAAATTAGAAATACTTAAACTTAAGTAATTAACCTAATTCAGGTTATTTAAAGGGTTATGGTTGTTAGAAAAAGAGGCTGAGATCAAGAGGGGGGGTGAATTGATCTTTGAAAGATTTTCGCAATTAACAAATTATCTATTTCAAAAATTAAGATTTCAGATCTGTTCTTGAATCACACAGCAAACAATAAAAAAATAAATGCAGCAACAGAATTAAAGAAAAGAAAGGTTTAGAAAGATATCACCAAGGTTTATACTGGTTCACCCAATCCCAGGGCTACGTCCAGTCTCCATCCAAATTCCAGCTGGGTTCCACTAGATTGAATGTTTTACAGATTACAACATTAACCTTACACTCAATCTACCACAAGAACCACAATTCCAGTTCCTGCACCTAACATTTCACCAAGAACCAAATTCCAGTTCTTGACAACCTCTACAACCAAATTCCAGCTACAGAGAAACCAGTGCCCACAATTCCAGGCACCAACAATACAGAAAAGAATGTAAAGAAACAAACAGAAAAAACTAAAACGCTCAAACCAGTTTTATGCAATTCTGCAATATGTGTTTCTTCTCCAAAGAAATGCAATTTTGCCTCAAGAAAGAACTTTGATGAACTTCACAAAATCAAGCGTGATTCTTTCTTGAAAGTAGTACTTTTGATTGCTTGATTGAATACAAAAAGATGTGTATTAGATGTTTTTTAAAATGATTAAGCAACTCTGTTTATATAGAAGATTTTCAAAACTGCTGGTTTAATTAATCTGTTAAAATAATCTTTTAATCTGTTAAAAACCTTGTTTTAATCTGTTAAAACTTCTTTTAATCCATTAAAACATTCTTGATTATTTTCCAGATTTGTTTTAACTGATACGACAACGTTTATATCAATTAAAACTCTTTGTAAAATATCTTCTAATTTGTTTTAATCGATTGTTTGTCTTTCAATCGATTAAAATACTGCAAGATATTCTTATAAACTTTTCAAGTGATTTTAACTGATAAAAGATCGTATTAATCGATTAAAACGCGTAGTATAAATTTTCTTAAGTTGATTTAATCGATTGAAACGTAATTTAATCGATTGAAATAATTCTGATCGGTCATAACTAAATTCTGATCGATCATATCTGATTCTGATCGGTCATAATCTCATTCTGATCGATCATACAGTATACCAAATGAAATTAATCGATTAAAACAAAGTTGTATCGATTAAAATACTGCCAAAACACTTCTCTGAACATTGTAAGTGATTTTAATCGGTTATTTCGAAACTGTATCAGTTAAAATACTTACTGAAGGTTTTCAAAACTTCCTTTAATGAAAACAATCGGTTATTTCGAAGTTATATTAGTTAAAACCTTGTTATAAAAGTGTGAAGAACATTTTAGTTGATAAAGCTTATATGCTATTAGTTAAAATAGTTGATTAAGAAAGCTTTTATCAAAATATTTTGGTTTTGATCGTTTAATCACTTTTAGAGACATTTTGCAAAATCTTTTAAGTGAAGAGACCTCATGCAGCAGAAAAGATAAAAATGATTATACCTAAGCAGAGCTGCAAACTAAACTTTCTACTCTTTTATCCAAGTGACCTTTGACTGCCACAAAGTTGCCTTTGACTTCATTTTTTGACTTCATCAAATCAACAAGATTTTTGCCAAAGTAAATAAGATCTTCATTACTTTCAATGGTCCCCTTCTGGGAGCACACACATAAAACGTAAATCTCAGTTGTCGTTCCTTTCTTTCTATCCCCATCAAGAAAGAAAATCCAGAGGAAAAATAAAGGTGATCTTCAGATGGAAGACAACAAGATCAATAGTGCTCTAAAAGGGACATCATCATTATGACTAATTCATATACGTTTTCGCATTCAGTCCACAACATGTTAATGAGTATGAGATAATGTTTATGTTTGATCATTAAAATCAAAATTAAGATCATAATTATTAGTTTTTTAACAAATGAGTCATCGTGTGATTGTGTCAAAACCTTATAATAAATCGCATGATTTCAAACTAGACTAAAATCAAAAAACAATTATCCACAAAAATAGTTTTAATGTTCCACGTCCTAATGAATCGAAAACATAATAATTTTGTTATATATAAATATTTAAGCACATATCTTATTTATTAATTTTTTATGAAATAACATTTTATAATCATAACAATAATAATAATAATAATAATAAATAATAATAATAATAATAATATATATATTGATTCAAGATATTAGTTTAGTAGTTTTAATGTACTAATTATTTTTAACCATCTAAACGTTTAAATAAATTTTAAAATGTTAAAGAAAAAGAATTATTATTGAAAAATATGAAGAGCTAAATAATATTAAAAAAAAAATTTGACTTCACTCAAAATATTTCCTTATTATAAGGCAATTAATGTTTTATTACCACAAGAGGTCCATCAAACACAAATCTTGTCCTAATATCAATCTTAAGCCTCTCACATCCTCCTATTCTATATTAGAAAGTGTTTCTATCAAAGGTTGTACGGTTTTGATTGTTTCTTGCACACAAATGTACAAAATATTTTTAGGAAAACAAAACTTAGAAATAATAATAATAATAAATAAATAAAAATAAAGACAAAATTTTATTTTATTTTATTTGTTATATGTTTATAGGCTATGCTTATATATTACTCATGAAAATATAGTGTTTGAACTCATAGAGATATGTCTGCTCGTAGTTCTTTCTAAATCAATTATCAAGTCAACATCAATCAAATAGAAACCCTTACTTATTATCTTCCCACAAAGATATATTTTGTTCCTCTCATTCTTCTTGGCTTTTTTTCCTTTCGTGTAGTAAGAAATACTTTACCGTTTTTCGTAAATGAAACTAAAATATTGTAGCAAAAAATTGTTGCAAAAAATCGTTGATGCTTTGACTAGTTATGATTCAAGTGAAAAACCTTATTGTAACCTAATCCTAAACCCCTTTTTAATAGCTCGTTTTACTTTAAATTTATAATTATTAGGTCAAGCTCCGAGATTATATTATTATGTTCATTAAATATCTTAATTCTTGTTAATCGAGATTTATGGTGAGATTTTTATAATCGCATCCAAAAAAAAGATGACATCTTAACTAAACCATTGAATCAGTCACACGACAAGCTCATTTATTTAGACACCACATTAATAATGTTTTTTTTAAATAATAACAATAAAAATTAGTATCATGGTCATTATAACACAACTATAAAATATATTAGAGAATGATAAATAATTATTAAAATAAGATAAAAATATAATAAAATAATTATTATTTAAAATTGATGTAATTAATAGATTAAAAAACTAAATATATTATATATTATTTAATAAAAAAATTAATTTTAATTTTTTTATATTTAATCAAAACATTCATTCAATTTTTTAGATTTTATTTTAATTTTATCTTAATTTAATTATTTAGAAATAACCCACCCATTTTTAGGCGATGGAACTAGTTAAAATCGTAGTTGTACTTGGATTTTCAAATGAGTGTTTATATGTAAGTAAATTTCAACTTTGAAGTTTATACTTATTCACTTCTTTTAATACATTCATTAATTTCATGATAAAAAAGAAGTTCCTTAACAAACTTGGCTATTCATTTATTACTGCTACTCAGAGTCACACACAAATGGATAAAAATTGATGATTGATGAAGACAGGAGTGGAAATGTGTAACAGTGTGCAGGTAATTGCATCGTCCTTTCATCTTCACATTCATATAAAAAATGGCCACTCTGCAAGCACGTGATCCAAGAAGATAACCAAGAACAGAACATATCATGTCCAACAACACCATGTCAAAATTTATTTCTCAACATGAAAACGATGTAACTACACTATTCAATTTTCACATTAAATGTTCCATGCATACATTATTTTTAAGTTTTGATAAATACATCAAAACTATAATTAATATTTTATTTATTTTAAATTATTAAACTTATTCACATGGTCAATAATTTTGATAATTATAAAAAAAATTAATAGTGTATTTGACCATCTAACTTTTCAAAATTAAATAATTTATTTTTCTGTTTTTGTTGTATCATCTACCTTGTCTAAAAATATCTTCTTCCATATTTTTACTTATATAAAATATTAAAATTTATTATTCAACATTATCATTAATATTAAAATTGATACACTGAACTGAATGCATCAAATTTTGATCAAACAATGTTTTAGAAAATTCTCATGAAATAACTTATTGTGGTTTTATGAATAGGATAGGATCCTAATGAGAGTATATTCTGTAAAAATCGTGATTAAAATGTTATTTTCATTTGCCAACAAAATTAAATTCGTCCATCCTCTTCCCTTATCCATTGCGTTCAGACCCAAAAAGCTCAAAAAAGAAAAAAGAAAAAAGAAAAAAAGAAAAGAAAAGAAAAGCAAAAGTGAAACACGTAACCACTTTCTCTTCGTTCGGGTCCCAATTGAGATCCTCCACCTCTGCTCCGAAACTGCCACCACAACACAACGGCATTGCACGGTTCCCGCCAAAACCGATGCTAGGGTTCACTCTTCCGCTTCACCTGCAGCTTCGCTGCTGCCAACACCTTTCCCAACAACCGCCCCTTCCCAACCCGATTTCGCCCAAGCCCTTCTACCCGCCGCTTCTTCCCTCTCTCCCTCGGCCCCGAACCGGTCCCGGTCTGCGCGCTAGTTTCCCGGTCGGGTCCGGTTCGGTTTTCCCGGAGGATGAACTGGACGTGGAGCTTGGGCGGCTACTCGCGCTTCTGCCGGAGGAGATGAGGCGGCGCGTGAGCGACCACGTGGAGCTGCCGCAGCTGATTGAGGTGGTGATGGATTTGGGCCGGAAACCGCTCGCGAGGTTTCCCTCCGGCGATTTCGTGATATCGGAGTATCCTATCACGGTTCAGGATATCGAGCACGCCACTGCTCAGGTATTGAACAAACCATAAACCATTAGGAAAAGTTTTTTTTTTTTTTGGTATAATTTGTATTTTTAACCTATATGTACATTAATTTTAGCTAGCTCATGAAGAAAATTATTTCCTTTTTTACTCTTCTCTAGAAGAAACTCCTCTAAACAACTTTATAAAACAGAAATAATGTACAAGGGTAAAAGAACATTTTGGTTATGAAAAAGTGTATAGGGTAGTCACATTTGTCTTTGAATTATGAAAGTTCAAAATAAGTGGTAGAAGAAGTCCCTAAACTTAATTACCTACTTACTGCCACTTTAGTCGTTAAACGTATGTAAATATTATTATTACTTACTCACATGACTTTTTGAGTTTTGGATTAAAGGGATTGACAAATTGTATAAGGGTAAAAGAACATTTTGTTTATGAAAGTGAATAGGGTGGGTACTCACATCAGTCTGAGTTATGAAAATTCAAAATTAGTGGTAGATGTTAAATAAGTCCCTAAACTTAATTACTTACTTGCTGCCACTTTAGTTTTAATATTATTATTACTTACGCACATGACTTTTTGAATTTTGGATCAAGTGATTCACAAATTGTATTTTGAGATTTTTTTTTTTAATTTTCTTATTTTCAGCACTAATGTGATAACAATAAATACTTTTAGGAACCAGAATGGTGATTTACCCCATTGTACTAGTAAATCCTTCTTAAAGTGTTAGAAAGCGTGCTAAGTAGTTCCTCTGGCATTGGAAAATCCTTTAAATTAGTCCTTAGTAAAATATATCAACTTTGGAATTAAACTTATGGATATTTGATACTTAGGATATTTGGTTGTGATGACAACTCCCAATGAATACGAAAAATGTAATAAATCTATTTCTGCTTAGAAACATGGATCTGGAAAGTGAAAGATATGGGGTTTTTGGATTGGACTAAGATTCTAAAATAAATCATGGAAAGATATAATTATTTATAATTGTCAACTCATGAGAGCAACCTCTTGCAGGTTGGTGACTTTGCTGTTGATAATCGAGCAGGAATCAGCAGGACATTGCATCGGATTAGTGCCATCAGAAATCGCAAAGGCACAATTATTGGTCTAACTTGTCGAGTTGGTAGAGCAATTTCAGGGAGCGTTAAGTTGTTGCAAGATTTGATTAAAGATGGGGCTTCATTGTTGCTCATTGGACCACCCGGAGTAGGCAAAACTACAATTATTAGGTCAGTGATTTTTTTGACATGTGCTAAAATATGAGCTAGTCATGCATGAAATAGTTTTCTCACTAAAGTGTACAATTGTACATCTATTATGTTCTTGATTGTCGTATGAATGTTGTTGGACTGGGTTCACTCTCTCCATGCTTCCATTTTATTATCTATTTAACTTCTCCTTTCAGAACTAAATTCGAGTTTTGCGGTTCCCCATTCTTTGGGAGCCGTGATTTTTTTGGGTATTCAACAAAAACTAATATTCTTATGTTTTTGTTGCTTTTTGCAATGCTTTAATTATGTACTTGGTAGCATCATAAAAATAGGGAACGGTTGAGATGTACTAATATTATTGTTATTGTGGGAGAAAAAAATGTTTTTAGTCCTTATATATTTTGCCAAATTTAATTTAGTCCCTGCACTTTTAAATTAAGAATTACTCCTCCAACTTTGAAAATATGTGAATTTTTTTAATGTTTAAATTTAATAGTTAGTAATAATTTTTTACTGCCACAAAGCTGGAGAGGAAATTTAATTCACATGTTTTCAAAAATTTGAGGATTAATTCATCCATTTAAAAATATAGATATTAAAACCAAGTTTGACCAGAACTACATGGACTAAACACATTTTTCCCTTATTATTATTATTATGATTATCATTATACACGTTTTCGCTTTGGAATTGAACACTGTATTTTATTCTATATTTTTAGGGAAATTGCTAGGATGCTGGCAAATGATTACAAGAAGCGCGTTATGATTGTTGACACCTCCAATGAAATTGGGGGTGATGGTGATATACCTCATGCTGGAATAGGCAATGCTCGTCGTATGCAAGTCCCCAACTCTGATATGCAACATAAGGTATTAGAAGCAATTGCAGGAGTTTTAACCTTTTTTTTTTTCTTTATGTTGAAAGTGTAACTATATTACCAGTGGCGACTGAGAATGTTTCTGAGAGCAATTGGTCTTTATTCTGACCTTTCTCAATGTATGTTCTATAAGATATTATAGAAGGAATCAATGAGAATTCTTGGTCGTTTAAAATAAAAGTGATAAGTGATTTATTCGAGAAATCAGCTCAATTGATTTTATTTGGTAGGTTAGGGTTCTCGGGAAAAAAATAATTAGACATTGATGTTCATAGTTGTCTGAGAACTAGTTGGACGTTAAAGTTTAATATAAAAACTTAGTAGGAAGCACTGCAGAATCATCTCTGAACTTCAGAATTGTGCATATGTTTTCACTAATGAAAGAAATTACTTTTAGATGGAGCATTCACTGGCTTAAGATTCATTCTTCAAAAGTAATTATTCCAATTTAGATTCTACTCAAATAATTTCACACCTGTTACAAAAATGCACCAAGTTTTTCACGCCATGTAATATATAGAGCAATATATGCTGTTTGTGGGAATCAACCAAGTAGAAGACTGATTGATTAGAGTGATAGTTCTTTCTGGAGTCCTGTTCCTTCCATTCCTTGCATTTTACTTTCCTTCTTATTTCCATTAGATCCTTAAAGGGACTCTTTTTTCGTTCTGAAAGGCATATCTCATAGTAATACTCTGACCACATTTCTATGCTTGTTGTACGTAAATTCAGGTATTGATAGAAGCAGTTGAAAATCACATGCCACAAGTGATTGTGATTGATGAAATTGGTACAAAGCTTGAAGCAATGGCTGCAAGCACAATTGCACAACGTGGGATTCAGCTTGTTGCCACTGCTCATGGAATCACAATCGAGAATCTGATAATGAACCCTTCATTAGAGATGCTTGTTGGAGGAATACAGGTGAGGTATACCTACATCTTAAGCAGGATGCCAACTTGATTTCCTGTATATCATAATTGAATTAGATTTAGCTCATCTTTAGAAATGATATCTCAGAATAATATTTTTTTAATGCTTTAGCAAGAAGCTGCTAGAAAAACTTATTTCCCAAATATAAGCTAATCAAAACACACACTAAGTATTTGAACTTTTTTCAATGTACGATCTTTAATGTGTTTATGTTACCTCTAATGGATTAATGGCACAAGAATGAAAATGACATGGTGCTAGCAGTGTGATTACCTAAACCTAGAGTTGTCTGCTGTCATACATCAGTGTCTTCCTGTTGATGGCTTGAAAGTACTGTAGGGAAGACCCAAATTATAGGTTGTTAGGTGAACACATGGTGGATTATTATGTCCCTAACTATTACAAACTTATGCACTGGCGCAGAAAGTGTGCTGTAGCATGGTAAAAAAATAATACGTACATGTTTTTTCCTCTGCTTCATGTTTTAATAATTGAATTTACATTCACCAGGAGCATCTAAACATATGGGCATATTTAGTCTTTTTGGTTACTTCAGCTATTTTATCCTTTTTAGAGCGTGACACTAGGGGATGAAGAGGCCAGTCGCAGGGGTGTTCAGAAGACAGTATTGGAGAGGAAAGGCCCATCTACATTTAGTTGCGGAGTGGAGATTATTTCTAAGACAGAATTGCGCATTCACCGTAGCCTTGAAGCAACTGTAGATGCCATTCTTTCTGGTCAGCTGCCATTCTGGAAAAAATAAAGGGTTGTGGTGGATTGATACATGACTTTATGCTGTTTGACTTGTTGGTGTAGGTCGTTTTCCAAATGTAGAAATACGGAAGATGAAGTCTCAAGAACAGGAAGAGATTTTACACGATGGACCTGTTAGTGACAGTTTTCTTCAGAAGAATGGTGAGATTATGTTTGAAGAAGCTACAAAGGGAGCTGATGACCAAACCAGCCAAAATGAATCATTTTTGAAGTTGCCTATTGACTTGGTAGAAGATTCCTGGAAGCATAAATCGCCACTTAGCCTCTTTTGTTACGGGGTAAGACATTGTTATCGAATAGCTAAGAGCCTACCATAAATGCATGAAGAAAACATTGATATTAACACAGTTTACTCCTGTTATACTTTCTTATCTACTGTGTGCTTCTTAATTCTCTTGATGCTATTTATGGTTATAAGTTTGAAGATCTTTTTATCCCAAGAATGAAAATTTGAGTTTGACTTTGAATGTTTGTGGCAAGGATATTGACTTAAGTAATAATACCCAATGGAACATTGGATCAGTTTTACTTCAGGAAACAGTGGACTGAAATTCATTCATTTATTCTCTTTCCAATTTACATTCCTTTCGTATCTTCCCCCAGTAGTCACTCGCCTCCTTCAAATACCCATTTAAATTTTTTGTAATAATTTATTTTCAGCTTTATATACTATTGCATTAGAATTTTATTGTAAAAAATATTAGAAAGATGCTAGTGTCATCCCATTCCTTCTTAAATCTTGATTGATAGTTAGCTTTCAATTCATTTATCACTATATTTAGCCTAAATTCTTGTCCTCCTCATATTAGACTCACCATTAAGGATAAATAGTTTCTAACATGTGTGTGAAACTGTTATATATTATCTACTAGGGATTGTAATTAAACTCATACCCGTCGAGACCAATCCGTCCCCGTCTCGAGTTTGACGGGAAAAACCCGAGTTAACCGGGGCGGGCATGGATAAAGCAATCCCCACTCCGACCTCGTCCTAACCCCGACTTTATATTTAAATTTAAATTTTAAAATATTAATATTTTAAAAGTATTTTCTTTTCTTTTTCTATTACATATAAGGTCATTTTTTTTATATTTCACCATTTTTATTTTTCTTCTACCCACTTTTTAATTTTTTTTGTCTTTTTTAATCTTTTATATCAATTAATTTATTACATTATTCTCTCTCTTATCTTTCAGTTTTTCACATTTTCTTAATCTCTCCCATCAATTTGTTTTTTTTTCAATCTTTTCAACTAATTTGATGAACACAAAGTTAAAATTTTTTTCTTTATCTTTTTCTAAATATTTTACATAAATCTTAGTAGTAACTTGCTATTATTTTATTTATAATTTATATTTACTAGGTTTTATTATGTCATTTTTTTATCTTATTATTCTTATTTATCATATATCAAATTTTATATTAATAAAATAATTGTATTTTAAAGGATTAAAAAGAATTGATAATTTAAACTTTTATTACTTCGAACTAATTAAATAAGAATTAACTTATTAAATATTTCCTTATAAACTATATATTTCATATTTTTAAATGACAACTTAAAAATAAATTAAATTATATATGTAATCAAATGTTTGAATATAGTATTATAATAATAATAATAATATTATTATTATTATTATTATTATTATAAGTATTCAAATATTTGAATACGGTGTTATAATAATAATAATGTTATAAATATTCTATATATATACATATATATATATATATATATATATATATAAATAAAAAATAATTAAATATTTCTTTTACATACATATTTTAATATAAATATAATAAATTAAAAAATATATTTAATTAATAATAATTATAAATTATAAAATTATAAATATTTATTTATATATAAAAATACATAGTAAAATTAATTTATTATAAATATAATTATCTTTTTAAAAATAATATAGATCGGGGACGGGGCGGGAGCGGGGATGAAGGCTTAATTTCTAACCCTGGCGGGGATCGGGAGGCAAAACCCACCCCCACCCTGCCTCGTTACCATGCCTAGTGAAACACATAAAGAAACATAAAAGAAAGAAGATAAAGGAAAAACATAGAAAGGACAAATAAAAAAGAGAGTGGGGGAGGGGGAGGATATCAGTAACATGCTCCATTTGAAGTATGAGTGTGTGAGCTAGTGATAGAGAAAGAGGAAATATACTTTAAAAGCATACGAAGTTAATCCGATGTGCCTTTGCATGCTTAAATTTCTTACTCCCATTTAATATATCTAATGCAAACCAGAACCGCAAAAACAAAGTGGACAGTAAAATAATGAAACAATGAATGAAATATGACTGAAATGAGAATGTGTATTATTTATGTAATAAGGAAAATTATAGTAGTCTGGATGAACGACTGCCACAGAGCCGGGCTCCTACAGAGAGCAAATGCTCTCCATTCTCAACAAATTGAAATGATTCCCTAAAGATACCCCCCACCCGCATGCACGTATGCTATTTGTTACCATCAGTAACTAATTATTCCGTTTTCTCCTTTTCTCTCTCTGCCAACTCACTAAACCTCCTCACATATTTTTTTTCCTTTATTCCTTCTCACGTAAATGTTCCATATCTTAGGCCCATGGGCCAATTGCTGGGTCCTAACACTGCCCCCTCCTGCAAAATCAGCCTTGTCCTCAAGGCTGAAGTTTGGGAACTGGCTGCGAATAGTAAACTCCTCCTCCCACGTTGTGTCTTCTGCTGATTTGCCTTTCCACTGGACTAACAGTTGATTGACATTCTCCCGTTCCTTGACCACAACTCTAGTGGCTAAAACAGCAGCAGGTTCAAAATCATCATGAAACTCGCTGTCCATTTCGATGGGTAAATCTCTCTCCACTGGGTAATCCCCGACAACGTACTTCAGTAGTGATACGTGGAACACAGGATGTATCCTAGAAGAATGAGGAAGCTTAAGCTTATAAGCCACTGCTCCTAAACGTTCCAGCACTTGAAAAGGACCATAATATCGTGCTGAAAGCTTAGCATTAATCCGGGAAGTGACAGCCTTCTATTTGTGGGGACACAGTTTCAAAAATACCCAGTCACCAATGTTAAAACTCCGTTCTGTCCTCTTCTTATCAACTTGGGTCTTCATCCTGAACTAAGCTTGCTGCAAGTGGTATTTCAATTGTCTCAAAGCTTCATCATGATCCAGTAATTCTCGTTGTATTGCTTCTACTCTTGTCTCACCTGGAAGAAAACGGGTAAGCATTGGAGGTGGCCTTCCATAGACTACTTCAAAGGGTGTTACCCCTGTAGTCGCATGAAAAGTGGTGTTATACCAATACTCTGCCCAATGCACCCACTGGATCCACGTTCGGGGCTGATCAGCAATAAAACAGCGTAGGAAAGTCTTAATACACCTTTTCACAACCTCAGTTTGGCCATCAGTTTCCGAATGATAAGTTGAACTCATCTTAAGTTGAGTGCCTTGCAGTTTGAACAATTCTCCCAAAAAATTACTCACAAAAATAGGATCTCTATCACTGATAATCGCTTTGGGAATTCCATGCAATCTTACGACTTCTTTTGCAAAAATTTCAGCAATCATATAAGTTGTATACGGGTGTTTGAGGGGAATAAAATGGCCATATTTAGATAGCCTGTCTACTATCACAAAAATGGCAGTATAGCCTTTAGATTTAGGCAACCCTATAATAAAATCCATGGACACTTCTTCCCAAATCATTTTTGGAATACCTAAGGGCTGTAATAATCCACCAGGGGATGTGGCCATGTATTTTTGTCTTTGGCATATATCGCACTCCCTAACAAACTTCTGGATCATTTTCTTCATTCCACTCCAATATAGATTGGTTGCCATCCTCCGGTATGTTCGATAGAACCCTGAGTGTCCTCCCTGTGGGGTTGCATGAAATTCCTTTAATAATTGAGGAATCGGAGGAGATTGAGCAGAAAACACTAATCTGTCCCCATAAAACAGAATACCATTCTTATAAGAAAACCCCGGTCTGGAATTTGCATCCCATTGTAAATCAGCGATAATACTTTTCAAAAATACATTGTTGTGTACTTCATCCACCACCTGACTGTTGTCTACCCAGATAGGATAGAAAACCATTGAATTCATATGACCCTCATCTATTACTCGAGAGAGGGCATCAACACCCTTATTTTCTGGACCAGGCTTATATAAAATATCAAATTGGTAGCCCAGTAATTTTGCTGGTCAGTAGTAGAAATCCGTTGTTCCAACAACTGTCGTAAACTCCTTTGGTCAGTGCATACAAATGCTCTTCTGAACAAGTAGGGCCTCCAATGTTGAATCGCCAAGACAACTGCTTACAATTCTTTTTCATATGCTGATTTGGCAAGGTTTCGATCACTCAACACCTTGCTGAAATAAGCTACAGGTCTTCCATTTTGGGTGAGGATTGCTCCTACTCCGTGACTAGATGCATCACACTCAATAATTTTTGAGTAAAATTAGGTAATGCCAGAACCGGTGCTGTTGTAAGCTTTGTCTTCAAAAACTCAAAAGCTTGTTGAGCCCTCAAATTCCACTTGAACCCTTCTTTCTTTGTGAGTTCAGTTAATGGTTTTGCAATCTTCCCATAATCCTGGATAAATTTTCTATAGTAACCCGTCAAACCCAAAAAACTTCGGACTCCTTTCACATTTTTTGGTACTGGCCATTGTAAGACACTCTTCACTTTGTTTGGATCCATTGCCACACCACCCATGGAGATGATGTGTCCCAAATACTCTAATGACAACTGACCAAAAGAGCATTTCTTCCTGTTAGCTACCAGTTTATGTCGCTGCAATACCTTTAGAACCTCCATTAAATGCAGTAAATGTGTCTCCCAATCAGAGCTAGAAATCAAGATGTCATAAAAAAAAAAAAAAAAAAACAAGAACAAACCTCCTCAACATTCCTCTGAAAATCTCATTCATTAAAGCTTGAAACGTTGATGGTGCATTCATCGAACCAAACGGCATGACTAAATACTCATAATGACCTTCATGCGTTCTAAATGTTGTTGTGTATATCATCCTTCTTAACCCGCACCTGATGATAACTAGATTTGAGGTCTAGTTTAGAGAAAAATTGAGCCCCATGTAATTCATCTAATAGCTCGTCAATGACTGGAATGAGAAATTTATCAGGTATGGTAACCTTGTTCAAATCCCTGTAGTCCACACACATCCTCCAAGTTTCGTCCTTCTTCTTCACCAAGATAACTGGACTAGAAAAAGCACTCTAGCTCGAACGTATAATCCCTAATTCCAGCATCTCTTTGACTTGCTTCTCAATTTCATTTTTGTGGTGGTGTGGATATCGATAAGGACGCACATTCACCAAGCCTTGTCCTTCAACTAAAGTGATGGCATGTTCCTTCCCTTTCCTGGGGGGTAGTCCCTTAGGTTCCTTGAACACCTCAGCATATTGGCTCAACAATTTACCCAACTGTGCTCGCTGCTCTGGATTTAGATTTTCAAATTTATCTTCTCGGTTTCCCTCGCTGGTTAGAGACACTTATAAGCCTGCAACCATCTTTTTTTATTTCTCGAAAAAACTTTGAAGAGCCATAGTAGGTATGCTCCCCTACCTTTGCCTCTCAACTCCATCCACTTTCCTCCAGCTGAAAACACATAATCTGTTTTCCCCAGTCGACCCACATTCCTCCAAGAGTAGCTAGCCAGGATATTCCTAATACTACATCAATTCCCTAAGGTCAAACAACAAAGTATCTACAGTGAACTTAACCTCTTCCACGTCAAGTTGGAGCCTAACACATTTACCTCGCGCCATTGCCTTGTAGCCATCTCCCAGCTTGATTCTCATGGATTTGGTGTCTTCAACCGACCATCTCATTGCTATGACAAGCCTTTTAGAAATGAAGTTGTGGGTTACCCCACTATCCACCAAGATGAGAATTGATACCCTTTTGATTATCTTTTTAAGCTTCATCGTTCGAGGTCTCCTCTCCTGCTCTGCAAGCATATTCCTCATACTTAAGATGCTACATTCCCCATCGACTTCAGTCTCTTCGTCATCAACTTCTACAGTTAGTACATCTCCCTCAGCCTCTGCACCTTCTAATTCATCCATGATCATAATCTTCAGTTGCTTGTCGGGGCATTGGTGCAACCGGTGAAATTTCCCTCTACATTTGTAGCACAACCCTTTTTGTTTGCGTTCTAGAAGCTCTTGATATGAAAGATGTCTGACTCCCCTGCCTCTCGATTGGGGACCTTTGTTTTCCATCGATGAGCCAAATTTGGACACTTACCCAACTTGTTTTGGCCCCCCATCTATTTTGCTGCCTCCTACCATAACCCAATCAGATCCAGAGTGGCGGTCCATTACTATAGAACTAATCGAATTATTTGTACTGGGTCGGTTAAACATTCCCGAACCATAACTTGTCCTCCTTCTAGTATTCCTTCCTCCTCCTAGGATATGATTTTGGTCATGCAGTTCGCTCTGGATGGCTCTCGCCAAGGTCATTAAGCGAGAATGAGACATCGGCCCTAATGTACGCATGCTGCACACTCTTTCTCGAATCTCTGTCCTCAGCCCGTGAATGAAGTAGTCGATTGATCGTTGGGCAAACTCCCCACCTGAGCCGTCAACCTCTTAAACTCCCGAATATACTTATCGACACTTCCCTTTTGCCAGAGCGCCGCGAGTTGCTCGAACGCATCACCCTCACCGACTCCTCCATACCGCTCTAGCAGCTAACACTTGAATTTTTCCCAATTCAGATCAGGCACATTTGTAACCAGAGAGTTGAAGAAATGGATCGTAGGCCCTTCCATACACAACTGAGCAAGGTTCACCTGTATGTCCGGACTCGTCTCCATCACCTGAAAATAGATCTTTGCTCGAGAGTTCCATCTTGTTGGGTCATCACCGTCAAACATCGGTAACTCCACCCTCTTCACTGATTAACGAAACTCGCTGAGCGATTCTCCTTGTACATTCTTCCATCCTGAGGTCGAACTTGTTTTCCCCTTCTCAGGTGACTCCTCCTCCTCCTCTTTCTTATGCGCCATCTGAGTATCCTTCAATCTCTTGGTAAGCATTGCAATTAGCCTCACCTAGTTCTCCTCCGCCTTGGATTGCATTGCAACCAGAGTGGATCGCAGATTTGTTACCTCATTCTCTAGAGCTGCTACCATGGCCTCCATCTTCTTCGGTGGCATCCAAATGAACCCTTATCCCTATTACGCTGACCTTTTCCCTCCGTCGTATCTGGCAGGTCGGACCAGTTTGATGCAAACTAGAACCGCAAAAACAAAGTGGACAGTAAAATAATGAAACAGTGAATGAAATATGACTGAAATGAGAATGTACATTATTTATGTAATAAGGAAAATTACAGTAGTCTGGATGAACGACTACCACAGAGTTGGGCTCCTACAGAGAGCAAACGCACTCCATTCTCAACAAACCGAAATGATTTCCCAAAGATACCCCCACCTGCATGCACGTATGCAATTTGTTACCATCAGTAACTAACTATTCCGTTTTCTCTTTTTCTCTCTCTGCCAACTCACTAAACCTCCTCACATATTTTTTTTCCTTTATTCCTTCTCACGTAAATGTTCCATATCTTAGGCCCATTGGCCAATTGCTGGGTCCTAACAGTATCCTGGTGCCTTTCACTTTTGATTTTAAGTTGACAGCGTTGACAACTAGATAAACCCTGTTTATTGTTAGTCAAAAGTAATTCCTGCAATCGTAGGAAATATGGAGTTTGTTGGTCAAGCAAAGCAATGAAAAATGCAATCTCTTCTATTTTTATATTTTATCATTAACTGTTTAACTTACAGAATGGTCAGTAATTCTAGATTTTAGATGCAACTGTTATTCAAGGGATTAAGCAGCTGAAAATGAATGATGCGGCCATTCAATTGACTGATAATATTAGTGAAGCAAATGCTTTACTTGCCTTGCAATCAAAGCTTAAAAAGAATCCAGGGATCCAGGCTGGTGCTAAATCTCATGAGATTCCCATTTATGTGACAAAGGTATTGATTTTCTAAAATTGCGTTCAGGTAAACAGCTATATTTTGTCATACACTTTTGCTAAACAATATTATTTTTGCCTTATAGACTAGTTCTTTGGAGCATGTAACAAAAGCTATTCGGGCATTAGTAAGTGATTACGAATATGGTATAAAGGATTTTGAACCAACAGATAAGACAAAATCATCAGAGATTATTATTGATGCTTTGGAGGTAATGTAAATGTTATAGTTTTAACATCTTTTCTTTTCTCTTTTTGGTTTAAGTTTATTTGTGGCTATCAATTCATGCTCAAAATCACCAATTGTGTAAGACATAGATAGCTCAAGTCCTAAATTTAGCACTAGAGGAAAAGAATTCAGAAACAGCCATTTTAGCTGTCTGGATTCTGGCGTCAGTATAATGTATTTGCATTAGTGCTTTGCTGGGGTGGGTACTGTAGAATTCACATTTATCTGCATAAAAAACTTGCAGCTAGTTATCTATACCAGACCCTTAATCTATCTACTGCCAAACCAATATTTGATGATTGATTACTGATATTATGTATGACATGAATGAAATAGAAATGGATAAATATCATTGCCAAAATGTTTGCTGTATTCTTGAGCTAGTATGAAACACGTGTGCCATATTTTTACAGCTGAAATTCATTAGTTCAATTAAAGAAACGCACGAATGGTTGGTACAATTTGTTTCTGCATATTTCAGGAGGCACGAATGGCTATAGAGCAGACAGTGATTCCGAAGGGAGAACCTATGGATCTACTACCAAGATCATCTCACATAATTTCTCTGCAGCTGGAACTTGTCCGTAAATACCAGCTAGAAACAAGGAGAATCAGTGGGGAGTCAGGTGTACATCATCTACGCATACTTCCATCCCATTATGAAAGTGATGAAGTAAAAACTAGTGAAACTTCTGAGTTCGATAGTGAATTAGATGAATTTGCCTCCAATGGCAGCGTGAATGGCTCGCTCTGCGCCCTGGATAGATTGCCCCTGCTACCCGAGTAGGTTCACTTAGGCTGTGTTTGAATAGCCGTTTGTACATCCATTTATGCACTCAACTGTACCTAAGAATAATGGTGGATTGGAATGGAGCGTGGAGAGATACAAACACAAGGGTATCGTACAAATGTACATGTAATTTGTAAACATAGAAAAACATTTTTTAATGCTTGAAGTGTACAACATACCAAGTTATATATTTTGTTTCATTTGTACAAAGAAACATTGTGGTTTTACATGACCCAAGAGCAATGTGAATTTTCTTCCCTAGCATATTTATTTTTAATATTTTGACATATGAAGTATATTAACAATATAGGTATGTTAAAGGTATAGGATATATAAAACGGACATAAAAGTAAGCATGTTACAAACGAAAACACGTATTAAATTGATAAAACAATTACTTTATGAAAACTATAATTTTTTTAATAGGATTTACTAAAGTTGAATGCAAAAACTGTATTAACCATTTCTATTATTTTTGTTAAACTAAAAAATACTATGATTTATAAATTTAACATGCAACTTTCTCTGTATTAACTGTATTACTGTTAGTTAGTTTAATGTTTGTTTATTCTGTTTTTTAGTTTGATTTTTTCCATATAAATCTTTTTATTATTTTTATATATGTGCACACTTATTTTAATACTCTACTAAGTCTCTTAATATCTTTAGATAAGATATATTTGACAGGAGTAATCTCTTAATAAAGGTAAATTGTTTATTTTCGTAGAGGAGCAGAACCAACAAACCTATTTTTAATAGAACGATTGATTGATATTTTTCATATTAATGTGAGCAAGATTTACAAGATAAACAGGTGTAATTTGACTCCACCTCTAATCGATGTACTTATATATGTTTGTTCTTGCTTATCTTTAATTTCTTTGAAATCTTGAGTACATAAAAGCAGTATCTATTGATGGATGAAAGTTGAAAAAGACAAAAGGTTTGCTGTTACGTAATGCATCATGCTTTTTACAAAAGTGCTTTATCTAAAACGGTGTTAGATGAATTATAAAAGCATGGAGAAAGAGAATTGAGTCTTCTTCAGTTGTCGTCCTCAACAAAACCCAACGTTGGACAGTTGAGAATAAGACTGCTGTTGTTTGAGCTTTTTCTTTTGCGGCTGCCAGGACCGCATACGCATGTGCATCTTCCTTACAAACGTCTCCAACATCTCCTAAGAATAACCCAAATAATGTTATTTTTCTTTTGATCCGTGACTTCATTGAGTCGCTGCAGCAACTTTTGTGGAACAAATTCTGGGCTCTGGGCGGTGGAATGACAGGAAAAGAGAAAGCAAGCCCCAATCAGTCCAATAGTTCACACTTCCAGTTTGCGATTTTGGTACTCATTTTTCACTCATGAGCTTTGGAATTAGGGTTAACTTTACATTTTAAGTCTAAAACAACATATCATCATCATCTAATAATCTCATACTAAGTTGTCCATCTTATAAATCAAGGGCTATTGGAAAACAGATAACGTGTTGTCAGATAACGTGTTCTCACGAAGACGATTTCAGTGGTAGAAGACTATTTCAGATAATGTTTCTCACAAATAGAGGACTGTTTTTAGAGAAGTTGAAGAAGACTGTTTCAGACAACACCCAGTCTTTCCATAACTGTTACATACTTTTTATTGTAAATAGAGACTACTTCACACTCTTCAAGACACACATCTCTCGTCTTCTCTTATCTTATATTTTTTATGTTATCCTGAGTTAATTTACTCTTTAGAGAGTTTCTGGCTAGTTTTTGAGATCCTCATATATTCCAAAAGTTTTTGTTATATCCTGAGGACTTGCGCTATACACTGAGGATAAGTCCTTAATGATAGTAATTATACACGTCAAGAATAAAGTTTATTCGTGTTTCTATCAACCTCAACTTTTACAACCATCCAACGTAAATGATACTGAAATTATAATTAAATGTAAATTAATTAATGAATATAATAATAATTAAAGCAAAAATTGTTTAATATTACTTTAAAAACAAAAAAGTGACATTAGGTGAGATAGAAAAAATTATAAATAAAAGACAATTTATTAAAAAATGTTTCAAAAAATACGATTTTATTTTGAATAAAACTAAAAATAATAGTATAATATAAAGATTAATACAATTTTTATGTTGATTTTGTAAGATTAACATAACTACTCTTCTTTTGGAATAAAATTAAGTATTTGCATTATTAATATATTGAAATTGACCGACATTAATAATTAAAAAGATCATGTTGATGTTTTACTTTAACTAAAAAATTGAAGTGACTGATGTAAGTGGGTCATCTCATGTTCATCACATTTAGGCAGATGGAAAATCAAAGTTTGATTTGTCATGTGCTGACTCATTCATTTGGCTTCCACAAAACATGTTCCCAACTCATCCAATGTGATCGACATCACCATTCTGCAGATCTAAATACTTTTCAAAAAGAAAACAATATAAACACATATATAGTAACTATTAATAAACAACACACTTATTGTGAAAATGAATGAACTGATTTAAGATTCTATAATCTTAACATGTTTTTTAATATTTAGATTACAAAGGAAAAACTGAATACATGTATGCATTATATACTTTCTCTCTTTTCATTTCATTTCACACTTTCATGTTTATCATCATATATGGCATATCTGTATTTCTTTCACATCAGATGATACTTGACAGGGTGACTATGACCTTTGTTTGAGCCTCTTTATATAATCATGGTCACTGCTTTAGTCTCTCCACATACAATCTTGGCTTCTTTGTTCACTTTAATCCTCATGGCAAGCTTCAGAACATTATACCTTGTCCTTCTCTTCACGTCAATTCTGATCTCCCATGAGGCTCGTTCTCTACCACCTTCCACGTTCTCAAGCACAAACCAGAGCCACAATGCATTTGCAGCAACCAAAACCAAAACACTGTTGAAGGAAATTTTGCTAAGGAAGCAACTTGTAGCTGGTGCACATTTTTATGAGCCTGATCGACTCAGTCCAGGTGGTCCAGATCCTTCTCATCACTAATCCATGTTCACTTCACGAATCAATAAACATTATGCAAACAAAGGAAGAGGAAAGATTTTTGTTTTTGCCACTCACTGCATTATATCATCATTTCCTTTAAGGAGATCTCTTTCAAGTTCAAGTTTTTGTACTATTTAACATATTTGAAGTATGATATGCTTTAGAGAGAGTTCAGCTACTTCCTTAATTAGAACTTTGTTCTTTCAAGGATGAAGAAAAACTATGATTATAAATTATCACATAAAGATCATTAATCTCCAATCATGTTAGAGAATGAATGCGTCTAATTTAATTTTATAATTATGATATCGATTTTAAGGATGAGATTTAGTTATACCTTATTTATATAATTATTTATCTATTCAATATAAAATTTTTAAGAAAAATTTATGATGGTAAAAACATCTTTAAATTGGTACAATTTTATTTTTAATTAATAATTTGAATAATTAGAAAATAGATTTAGACAAGTAACCAATGAAATTCATAACCAACTTTCCTCCTTTTCACCAAAGATATCCTAACTAAATTATATGAATGGGTGCTAAATTAAGGTCTACCCAACTACTTTTGAAAAGGGTTTGAAAACCTAATTTGGGCCTAATTTTTAAGATGAGTAGTCCAAAGTTCTATTGAATATAATTCTGTCCAAGTTTCACTTAGTAAAGTTTTTATATTTATTTTAAATATTGAAACATAAAGTAGTTACCAAATAAAAATCCAACGTTCAAACTAGGTAGAAAGAAAATTTGGTAGACAAGAGTTCAAGATTGTGACATAACCATTGGAGTGAAGTCTACAAGATTTAAGAATTCAAGAGAAAAAAGAATTTTTTTTATCAAAGGTTGATTTTCGAGCTTTGAGTTTATTTGTGAAACATTAATGTGATATCACCAACAATTACATAGCATCAAATTATTATTTTTGTTCAAAACAAAAGCAATAATAGTTTAATGAAAGGTCGAAAAGAGCTAGCTTTAACATTTGTCGCGTCCCATTGTCCACTTGAAATTGTGGACGAGAATAATAGAAAATGTTTATGGTCTAAGCTTTACAAATAAACCAAAAGCTTTGTGAATAAACCACGCGAAATGAGTCAAATGGGGTATGCATTCAGGTAATGCAAAGACGGCATTTACGACAAATGTAAACACTTTCATTCACGTGGACAAAGCATAAAAGTTTCCACACCATGCATATCTTACACTTTCTTTTTCTACTATAATCCATATCTCCATTCATATCCTATAAAGGCTCTTTTGTCTTTATAGCTTTTCTCTCACGAACTTCTCCAATAATGTGAACAAGACAATCTATGATGAATTGGTTTGGTCTGCTCAGAGATTCATACATGAGAGTAAGAAGCAGTGATTGCGAGTAACAAGTTGAAGAACACGATTTGATGAATTTAATATAATGAACCAATAGAGAAATAAGACAAGTTTACTGAATTGGATCACAGTTATCTGCTTACAAAGCCTTCCAATAGTAAAGTTATATACTATTTTCTGATATGTAGCTTACAACCATGGTGTATATATATAGGGTGCATTTGTTATGCTGTATATACTTCACTTCATTGCATATATATCCACAAGCTTTATTCTTAGCTCATTGATTCAATGAAGCTTAGACAGTGTGTTATCTTGCTAACTGTTCTTGCACTGCTTGTGGTGAGTTCAGAGGCAAGACTGCTCCACCATGAGTTCTCCACATTGAGCAAAAAGATTGATGGTAAACTTGGCTTACGTGAACTGATCAACAATGTACGAAATGGTGAGTGGCACCAAAAGAGGTCAATGCTTGGTGGAAGGTTGGAGAGAGTTTCACCTGCAGGCCCAGATCCTCAACATCACTAGCCATCTCAAGTTGACATTGTTAGGTGGCAGATCAATTCCCATAATGAAACCAATACAACAATGTGTTGCTGGTTTTGTCATTAATGTTATAAGTTCACTACATATATGTACTCCTTTCGCATTTCTGGTATGAGATAATAATATGTATCAGAATAAATAAGAGTTAATGTAGTGATGAAAGTTTTGCTCATGTTATGATTTTACCACTTGTTTCTTCTTTTTTTAACTTTTTTATCTCTCTAATCTAATAATTGAAATGATACTAATGAAGAATAATCCTTTGATGATACCTATATGTATTTTTTAACTAGAGAAAATTTTCATCAATATTAACACAAATATTAAATAAAAAAACTAAATTTAGTTAAGACTTATTAACAGTTCTAAGATATTCCCATATTGTGTTGTCAAAACTTATTCATCATCAAACCATCGCAAAAAAAATTATTTGAAAACAGTATAGATTAGTTAAGAATATTCCTAGAAAAATCTTTCACAAATTTGTATCAAAAAATTATCCTTTCAAATATGATGTGTTTTTAGAAAATAAAATAAATTGGTATCAAAATAAAATAATTTTGGTTAGGAATTAAATCAACAATATATTTGTAATGGTGGGTAACTCATCAGACCTATAGACTATTAATGTCAAGTCATATATGATATATTTTATTATAGTCGAATTTAATTATTTTTTTAAATACTTTTACATTTATGTTATGTAACATATACTTATATGAGTATAAAAATATTAAATATTATATATAAATACATATTAAAGTTTTATTAATTAATATTATTAGAATAAAAATAACTTACATGTTAAAGTACGTTTATGTAAATTGTGTAACTTATATAAAATACTTTAAATATTAATTTATCTATTTTTATTTTAGTTTAATTATATAAATTAGTTGTATTTAAACTATGTAGATTATGTTGCGTAAAATTAAAATATTTATATATTATAATTTCATATCATTTATAAATAAATAAAATTATAGTTAAAAATTAATATCTTGTGAAATAATGATATATAATATAATGTTTAACATATGAGTAGCTTCGTAATTTAACATGAAGTTCATGTTTAAGAAGTTATGAGTTCAAATTCTTTGTCAATTTAGCTTTATAAGAAATTGTAAAAATAAATGAATCAAAATAATTCACACTTAAAAGTTAATGAATTACTCCATAGATGTTATAGAAATCCAATAGTTAGTCGAAGTTTCATTTTAAATAAAATGAAAAAATACATAATTTATTATCTTAAGAGGTTTTATTAAATATAGTAGCTTTAAAAAAAAATTATTGAATATAGTAGCATATTGTCTATATATAATAATTTTCAGATCCTTTATTAAATACATATCATAGATTCTAAGTCAATTTTACAAAATTTGTGTAAAAATATTTTGTATATTATAAAATTTTAATTAAGATGACCAACAAAAAAAATGGATAAGAGATAAAGTTAGCACATATATGTTAAACAAATTAATTACGACAAAATCTTGGCCTTCGACTTTTATATATTACAAATAGATTGAGATCTTGTGATTGTGAAGATAATATATAGATTAACATATGTGATATGCATATCTATGTTTTTCTAATATTCCTTTTAGAAAACGAAGAATAACAACATTGAAATGTTTTTGGTACTATAGTAGAAGGATACGGGTCATGCTTTCATAAACCAAATGCTTAAAAAATTCATTAGAAATGAGCCAAAATGACAGGTATTAGCACGACAAAGACGGCATTTAAGCCAAAGAAATGGGTGATACGATTGTGGAGAAAGCATATATAAAAGCTTTTCATGCCACACAAAAATGCCTTAAAAATGGTGGATTAAAGTCTAAAGTTATGCTTTTTGTAATCCACCAATAGTACAACCTAAGATGAATAGGATCACTTGGCATATATAATCATTTAACACTTCGAACATGTTAGATATAAAACAAAAACATAAATACATAAAACTAAAATAAAAAAATGAGAAAAATACTAATAATAGGTAAAAGAGTAATTCCACCAATGAAAGAAATTACAACTCTTATCTCTCTACCTCCAAGGAGGAAACAATAACACCCTCTCCTGAAAATAAAGAAAAAACAACTCTAAGAGAATGTTAAGTGGTAAAAAGTTGATATAATTATGCTTTTAATTGTTATGAAATCATTTAACTTATATCAATTCTAGTTTATTTTTCTCCTAATGTAGGATGAATTCGAGAATACCTTGATACAAGAGTAATGAGCATAATTGTCAACATAATTAGAGCAAAACTGAAAGGAGGAAGACGATTTTCAGCATGGAAATCGTTCGACCGAGATAAATTTTCGTTTGAGCGAAAATCAGTTAAAACTCTCTAAAAGTCAGTCGCTCAAGCGTCAGAAATTTCGCTTGAGCGAAAATTAGTTATTTTTCTCTCGAACTCACTTGCTCAAGCGAGTACTTTGTATCTTGAGCGAGAATAGGGAAATTTTGCTTGAGTGAGTGTTGTCGCTTGAGCGAAAGACACGAGTCCCAATTTTTCCTATAAAAAGATAAGATGTGTTTTGAAAAAGGAAGCGGTTTTTGGGAGAAGAGGTGCGATTACTGCTAGGATTTCGTCCAATCTTCATTAATTCTTCACTTCTTTCACATTTTGGAACATTGTAATGGTCATCATGAGTGGCTAACTTCATTCTCTTGGGATTTGGTGCACTTCCTTTGAACTATTTTGTATCATGGTGATATTTTTATATATTAATCTATGTTTTGATGTTGTTATTCTTATCTTTTGTGCTTTAGAATGATTTTTTTTTATGTTTGGGGTATGATTGAAAAATATATCTTGAACCCTAGATCACGATGATAATATTTGTTACGTTAATTGCCAAGAATGGAATGAATGTATCAATTTCTTAACACCCTAAACCTAATGCTGGAAAATCTCTTAATTGTGTGTGAAATCAACATTTATTAGGTTTTCTTATGAATTTCATGTGTGAGAAATCAACATGGATGATTTGAGTAGGTAGCATCAATATGGTTAGGTTAATTGATGTTCTTAATTGACATAGTCATTGCAAAAGAGGGATAAGGAAGGAAGTCAATCCTAAGTGTCTTTCATTGATCTTTTCTAAACAATTTACAGTTCTTTGTCATTTAATTTCAATTCAACTCTTTATGCAAAATTCATTTTGTTTTAATCCACTTAGTAAACATATAATTGGGAATTTCTATTGAAACCGTTCCTCGTGGGATCGACTTTTATTTAATCGAAATACTATATTGTGATTGATAAGTTTGGTACGCTTGCCAATAATTCAACAGAGAACCTAAAAGGAGAAACTATTTTTCTCTCTTAATTTATCTCTTAAGTACTAAAACAACAAGAGAAAGAAAAAGAAGTGATTTTGGTGTGTTTTAAAGGTAAACATTGTGCTTCTTTTATAGTAAAAAAAAAAAGTAAGCACCAAACTAAGATTTCCTTGATGTGGGACTTTTCTTATCACAATCTCCCACTTAAGATTTTTGATTAAATTAATCAGATATTCACACCATGCTTGTTTTATTCTTGTCATCCATGTTGCTTATTTTTCCACTAGATCATAGTATGATCGACTCCATATAAACTTGTAAACATTAACCGGCTTTGTCATAACATATGTTAGGTTCTCATCCGTGTGAATCTTTTGCATATCCACACTACCTTCTTCCATTACTTCCGGAACAAAATGATATCTTATTCCTATGTGTTTTTGTCCTGGAATGAAAGGTTGGATCCTTACAATGTGCAAGATACTCTGACTGTCACAATACACAATAATTTGTTGTTGTTTGTACCCGAGTTCCTCCATTATCTTCCTAATCTAAATAGCTTCCTTACATGCCTGGGTGGCTGTCATGTACTCAGCTTCTATGATAGACAGAGCTACAACATCCTATAACTTGGATAACCAACTTACTGCCCCTCCTGCAACTGTAATCACATAACCAGTACTAGATCTTCTTTTATCCAGATCACCTACAAAATCTGAATCAACATAGCCTCTGACAACTAGTTCTGATTCTCCATAACATAATGTAACACTTGAGGTTCCTTTGATGTATCTAAGGATGCTCTTTATAGTACTCCAATGTTCTCCACCAGGATTTCCCATGAATCTACTAACTACTCTCACTGCTTGTGCAATGTCTGTTCTTGTACAAATCATGGCATACATAAGACTTCCCACTACTGATGTATACGGTACTCGAGACATTTTCATCCTCTCTACTTCATTGCAGGGACTCATACTTGAGGATAACTTACAATTGATAGAAAGTGAGGTGGAAATTAGCTTGTAATCTTGCATGTTGAAGCGCCGCAAGATTTTCAGTAAGTAATTGTTCTGAGAAAGCTAAACCTTCCTATCTTTTCTGACTCTATGAATTTGCATCCCTAAAATTTTGTTTGTTGGTCCCAAGTCCTTCATGTCAAACTCTCTAGCCAATTATGCCTTTAACTCTTGGATTCGGTCTATGTTGGGGTCTACTACCAACATGTCATCCACATACAATAACAAGATAACAAAATCATCATCACCAAACCTATTGTAATATGCACAATGGTCTGAGCTCAGTCTATTGTAGCCAAAACAAATAATGAAGGGATCAAATCTCTTATACCAACATCTGGGCGCCTGCTTTAGACCGTATAGAGATTTTGTCAACCTACAAACGAAGTTTTCTTGTTCTTTAAAGCCTTTTGGTTGAAGCATATAAATTTTCTCTTCAAGATCTCCATGAAGAAAAACAGTCTTCACATCCAATTGTTTAAGATGTAAATCAAATGCAGCATGCATAGTGAGGACAACTCTAATGGACGTCATTCTGACAACCAGAGAGAATATCTCATTGAAATCAATACTTTTTTTTAACATATCTTTTTACCACCAATCTAGCACGATATCTTTCTACTTGATCATTGTCATCTCTTTTGATCTTATAAACCCATTTGCAACCAATGGCTTTTCGACCTTTCGGAAGTTCCACAAGATTCCATGTCTTGTTTTTATGAAGAGCATCAATTTCTTCTTATATTGCAATCATCCACAGAGAAGCATCTGAATAACTCATAGCCTCTTGAAAAGTTAAAGGCTCTCCTTCTTTATTTAGAAAACAATACGCATCATGACTTGTCATCACATATTGTAAATGTCAAGATGGTCTGATTTTTTCTCGTATTGATCGTTGGAGATCTCCATTACCAACCTCATTTGACTCTTGATCTTTGTGCTCCTCCTCTGACTCAGATGAGTCATCCGAAGACTTCTTCTCTATTTGTATTATAATATTATCCTTTATCAAGTTGTTATTTGTCTACGCACTTTACAATTCATTTTCTGCAAAGATTACATCTCTGCTAACAACAATATTGTGGGAAGTGGGGTCCCATAGGCGATACCCCTTCACATTGTCAACATAGCCCAATAGGATACATTTCCTGGATTTTGGATCCAATTTTGTTCTTTCTTGAGTGTTGTACATCACGTACACAGGACAACCAAAAACACATAAAGATGAATAATCAGTTGGTTTATCTTTCAATAACTCCATTGGTGTGCTCAAACCAATGACGGTTGACGGTGACTGATTTATAACATAACAAACAATTTTAATCGCTTCTGCCCAAAAAGACTTGGCTACTCCAACTGTTTGGAACATAACTCTAGTTCTTTCCAAGAGAGTTCTATTTATCCGCTCTGCTATACCATTTTGCTGAGGTGTATATGGGATAAAAAATTGTCTGGTGATACCCTCTTGCTTGCAAAATGCTAAAAATTCTTCGTCTATATATTCTTCTTCGTTATCTATCCTCAAGCACTTAATTTTTTTCCCAGTTTCAAGTTCTACTTATGCTTTGAATTCCTTGAATTGTGAAAATACATCTGACTTCTTCTTGATAGGGTACACCCACAATCTTTTGGAGTAATCATCAATGAACAATACAAAATATTTTGCTCCTCCGAGGGATAGTACTGGTGATTTCCACACATCAAAATGAATCAAGTCTATTATGTATTTACTTTTAGCAGTCACTCTAGCAAATTTCAATTTATGTTGCTTACATATCACATAGTGCTCACAAAAGGGTAAACTAACATCTTTAAGTCTGGGTAAGAGATTACGTTTTGCAAGGATTTTCAAGTAAACTCTGAAGTAGAAGCTCTGCAAGCTCATTTTCAAATATGTTGAAATATGTCACTGATAATTGGGCAAACAAGATACTCAAATGGTTGATGTGGTCCGTCATTGATGTGGACTCACTCATCCGAAGAGTATAGAGTTTTCTCTTCAATAATATTCTTGTGTGAAGTGACTTCTCCCCATATAGTTTAATGAGGGTATTCCAAATCTTCTTCGCAGTAGTTTTCTCCGCAACACTGGATAAAACCGAATCTGCCATTGATAAGTGAAAATTCACAATAACATTATTGTTCATTTATTTCCATCGTCATTCATCCATGTGTTCCATGGTTCTTTCTGCAATTGCATCAATATAATTGTCTTTCCTCAAAATTACCTTCATCTTTCATTTTCACAATGAGAAATTACTCTCATTGAACTTCTATATCTTATATTTTGTTGTCATGGTTCCAAACCGACTTATGCAATTCTCACTATGAATAGTATTGTCTACTGGAACAACAACGGTAGATCATGAACCAATACATCAGGTAAGTTCTTAGGAAAGAGAAGTGAGTCACTAATGAATACGTTTAAATACTAAGTTTTTCCTTGCTAGAACTTTTCCTAGATATGCACTATTACATTACCAAATAATATTCAGTAACAAGAATAAATATTTTCTGATGTGGAAGATCAAATTAACCGCAACCACAAAGCATACTAAGAATTCTCTAATACTATTCTAATGACTATACAGCAGAAGATCAATATCACAACCTAGTGGCTCTGACACCACTGTTAGGTACCAGACAAAAGCATAAACACACACAACTAAACTAAAAAGATGAGAAAAACACCAACAATAGGCAAAAGAGTAATTCCACTAATAAAAGAGATTACAACCCTTCTCTCTCACCTTCAAAGAGGAAACAATAACACTCTCTCCTAAAAATAAAGAAAAAACAACTCTAAGAGAACTTAAAAGGAGAAATTATTTTTCTCTCTTAATTCATCTCTCAAGTAATAAAGCAGCAAGAGAAAGAACAGAAAGTGATTTTAGTGTGTTTCACAAGGTAAATATTGTGCTCATTTTATAATAAAAAAAGTAAACATTAAACTAAGATTTCCCTGATGTGATTTTTCACAAAACATGTTCCAAAAATTTCTACCTAAGTATTTTCAAGAAAAATAAAATAAAAGATAAATGAAATAAATTTCTGCGTAACCCAAAAATAAAAATTTAAAACATTAAATTAAATTATAATTATCCAAATATACTTTGATTTATAGCACCAAGTTGACCTTGATATAAGACAAGGAATCTTTGGGTGGAACTTATCTGCTTACACGACCTTCCATTGTTATGATATTCAAATCTTGAAATTCTCTCCCATGATTGCTTCAAGCTTTTGATGTGTGTGTGTGTGTATAAATAGCTAACTTGGCCTTCTTAAACTCCAACCTACTTCTGTCAGTGATATCATAAGAAAAGCATTTCAGGTTTTTGCTGATATATAGTTGCTTGTTTTTCTTGTCATTGGTTTTCTTTGTGAGACAATGGCTACTTCAATTAAGCCAATTGCTATCATCCTAGTTGTTCTGACATTGATTGTGGTGAGTTCAGAAGCTAGAAGTGTTCCTCAACTCTCAACAATGGAGAAGAAGATTGACAGTAAGTATGGCTTACGTGAAGCAATGAACTATGTCAGAAATGGCAAATGGCATGCAAAGAGGTCAATGCTGGGTGGAAGGTTGGAGAGAGTTTCACCTGCAGGCCCAGATCCTGACCATCACTAGACTTGCCAAATGACTGCATGTTTGGTTTACAAGTTCACAATAATGTTTATGAATTTTAATGTAAAACTATGGGGTTCAATGCATGATTCTGAAAAGGAAGAAACAAAAACTGTTGTTAGGTGTTTCACTGCCATATCAATCCTAACAATGTCATTAAAACCATGAGCCAATGAAGTGTTGCCAGGTTTGCTTAACAATATTACCAATAAAAAAAAGCTAATTTATGTAATGGTTGAATCTTAATGTATTTTCATTTCTCTTGCCTAAATAAAAATGTCCTTCATTATCTTCAAATGCACCGCTCAATGATGGAGTGTTTCGTAATCTCAGAAGAACTTATAAATTAAACCAAGTTTTTTAATATTTTGATTAAATTTGTTGTAAAGTTTACTTGTATATATAGTTCATTCATCATCTTCAAAGTATTATTACTCAATCGAAAATATATTCTAACAAAATTGAAAAGGTGTTTAAGGATTTTCAAAAATAATAATGTCTATAGACTCCGAACAAAGGTACGACTCTAAAATATTTCTATTTTTCTGTGTTTACATTTTGAAGTTTCTTTATTTTGACATGTAGTTCAACTTTCCATTTGAGAGAAAAGATAGCAGAACAGCTTCATTTTAGTAAAAAATATATAATTAATCATCATCTTAATTAGTGCTTAATTTTAATGTAACTATATCTAAAATGCTACTAAAACATTCTTACTTAGTATTTTGAAAAATCCTAAATATAAATATAAAAATATGTAATTTAAACAAACAAAATATATCGTTTATATTATATTATATATATATATATATATATATATATATATATATAGTTAAATTAAAAATAAAAATATTAATCTTGTTCACTTTTATTCTCATGTCAAAAATGTTTTCAATCAATTTGAATAATAAAATGTCACTGTCTTTTCTATTTAGTCCTTCACGTGTTTAAAACTAAGAAAAAAAAATCCCTATTTTTTTTTTAAATTCCCATAAATCCCTCTCGCCAATTAAATTGTTATAAATTTTAAATGTGATATTATTGACATGTTAAACTTTGCGTGATTTGTGTGGTCAAGTTTACCCTAATTCCAATAACTGAAGGTAAATATGATGGACCAACTATAAATTTTTCGTACCATTAAAGTGTCGTAATTAAGCTGTTATCTCAAATTCATCAACAAATTCTTCGTTAACACATTTTCAATCAAATCACTACAAATTTTATGAAAGATTCATTTCACACAGGAACCATTTAGAATGTTTTGATCACGTTTCTTCTTTCTTAAAGATTTAAGCAATAATCATTAGCGAGGGAAGAAGAATGAAAGTATGCAATAGACGATGATAAATTGGTATAATTTGTTTGTGAATTAAAAAAAGTGTTGCAAAAGGTGAAAAAGCGGGTTTGAGGTTTTGAAAATAAAAAGGAGAATGAGGGCAACTACGTATTAAAAAAAGCAAATACGGGGGTTAGGCCGAATAGACATCGCATATGATTGTGGAGAAAGCACAGAAGCTTTTCAGATCGTGATTGATACCATAAAACTCAAAGGCTACGATCAAAAGGTGGAGTAAAGGTGAGGAATTAAAAACTGCAAAAGTTGCAGAATCCAAAAGATAATGCAACATTCCACACGGTGAGATTGTGTCTTATACCAAGATTCATGAAGAGGACAAGAATGAAGATCCAAAAGACAAGATAAAGTTGCTTGGATGCTAGTTAGTATAGTTAAATGCTTACACAAAATTCCAATACCACTCTTTTAATGCAACATTATCATCCTTCATTTCCATATATAAATATGGTTACGTTCGGTATAGTAAAAAAAATATTTTTGTATTGTTTATATTAAGGTTTATTACGATATTCATAGTTTTAAAATTTTAATCCATTACGATTTTTTTTTTTTTACATTTTCATAAATTAAAAAATATATATAAATTACCATTGACTTCAACTCTTAAATAATATTAAACTCATGAAGATACTGAAATATAAAACAATATGAGATAGGTAAGAGTGAAATAAAATTATATTTTATCCATAATAAACGCTAAATGTTCTAGAAAAAGATCTTGAATAAGATTCCAGACTTCTCTAGATTGTGTACTTATATTAACGTCGACAATGCTTGAACGAAGTTTAATATATTTCGATCATACTACCTTTTAAAATTTTAATGTTGAGGTGTTGAAAGGGTCACAACAGTGAGAATGATGGTGACCATAATAATTGGTGTTATATTACACATCAGTCTATTTAGCTAGGCCGACACTGACACTAAGAGAGAAAAGTTAGGAAAACAAATAGGATTAGATACCCCAATCGTTCTAGCCATAAACGATGGATACTATAGGTTATATATGTATCGACCTGTGTAATGTTATAGCTAACATCAAGTATCTCTCACTTGGAAAGTACGTTCACAAAAAGGAAACTTAAATAAATTAACAAGAGTCTGTTTAATGTTAATCATGATCTATTACTCATAACTATAATTATGTTCACCAGGTAACCATAGAACGAGTTAGTAACTATGAAGTTATATAACACGAGATGGATCTCAACTAATAACCCAATACACAAAATTGTCAACTCAAAACATGGAGAATTACAAGAAAACATATAATATACAAATCTAAGCTTAGGATAATAAATATTGATTACTCTATATAAACTTTGGAAATTTTATTCAAAAGTCTTTTTTTAGATAAGGATAAAAAAATTATATATATATATATATATATATATATATATATATATATATAAGTATTTTTAGCTAAGTTAGTTGTTTTCCTTTCTCGTATGAGTTTTTTAAAAATCATGGTTACTACAATTAAGCTAAAACCGTGTATTCTGACATTGCTTGTAGTGAGTTTAAAGGTAAGACTAGTCGTAGAAAATATTAAGAAAACATTATGTGTGATCTTTTTGTATAAAATAAATAAAACATTTTTTCTTAATTTTAAGAAATATTACATCACTTTGTATTATTTAAGAAGTTTATTAATAATAGAATAAATATTGCTGGAATTACAAGTAGTATGTATCAGTAATGCAATCAATTTATTCTGTAAATATTTTAAAATAAAATATAGTTTTTATATTATCGATTAAATTATTAAAATGAACTATTCTTAATGATTTTTATTTATTAAATATTTATTTGTTACCATTTAAATTTGGACGTAATTAAATTTTACAAAATCTACTCAATTGAGAAATGTCCCACATTTATATACTATTTTTCAACCCTCGTTATATCACAATTAAACCTATCACAAAGCTCAACTCAAAGCATTCCCTTGTAAAAAATGAGATATTTTGCATTTTCTATTGGGTTCATCGGAGGATATTCAAACGGGAAAACATCATTCAGTTTTGGGTCGAAGATTTATGTCTCATTTTATATTATTTTTTTCCTAGAAAATCCGTTCGAACGACCAACATTTTCTTTTCAGATAATTATCCAATCTTTATCATTCGGGGCGTCAACCAGAGGTTTGATGACCAAGCTTTTTATAAATCAAATAATAGTTAAAGAAATCGCATATGATTATGGAGAAAGCATAAAAACTTTTCATGTCATGCCATTTCTGCATTGATATAAGACAAAGACGCAATCAAAAGTTGTCTAAAGGGTGTTTAATTGCTCTCTACCAGATAAAATGAAAGGTTTGGTCAGCTTAGAGATTATAATCATAAATTACTGAGAAAAAGAAACATCGAAAGTTTCAACTGATACAACATTATTCCTGATGTTTTATTGTGAGTTGAAAATCATCATAAAGATAGAAGAAGAAGAAGAAGAAGAAGATAAGGGATAAAAGGGCTGTTTGGATTGTAGTTAATGCTTACACAACATTCCAATATTATATTATATATATGAATTTTGAAATGCAACTCATGAAGGTCTTTCCAACTGGTGTGTGTGCTTAGTACACTAACATGTATCAGTATTTGTAGTCTATTTCAGCTTTTATAAGGCCATGGCTACTCCTACTTCAATGAAGCCGAAACAGATTGTTATGCTGGTAATTGTTGTGGCATTCCTTGTAGTGAATTCAGAGGCAAGAGTTTTCCCTGAGTTGTCCACAATGGGAGAGATTGTTGATAGCGAAGTTGGGTTAGGTGAATTGATGAAGAATGTTGGAAAGAGTGAGTGGCATCAAAAGAGGTCAATGCTGGGTGGAAGGGTAGAGAGAGCTTCACCTGCAGGGCCAGATCCTCAACATCATTAGCCTTCTCAAACTGAAAACAAAGTTAACAAACAATGTTGTGTTGTTGCTTTTGTGACGAATCTAGATAATAAGTTGCAGTCATTTTCGCATGCATGCACTTTCTTTTATTTTAACTTATATACTATGTTTTCATATAATAAACTACGTATTTGGTTTGTAATACTTACACATCTACATCTACATCTACATCTAAATCTAAATCTACCTCTAAATCTACTTCACTCTCTGTCTCTTTATCTATCTCTCTATTTGATATTATACCTGCAGTATTACCTATTTTAATTATTAATAAAATAAATTTAAGATAATAAGATAAATAATGAATTATTAAGATTTTAGTAAAGATAAAAAAATCTTAAAAATATAATTATAAAACAGGTTAAAAGGAAGAGTTGCATACATAATATTTCCATTTATATCAACATGGATGTTCAAATTTCAAATTTTTAGACTTGTCCTCATTTCAACTGGAATGGAATATCAGAAAAAAAAAAAAAAAAAAAAGTGTAATGTTCAAACCGTTCCTTTAAGCAGTAGATGAATCCGCCTTAGTGAAATTTAACAAATAAAATCAGTTTAAAAAAATAATTTTACACTATCTTTTGCTAGTGGATGTGGATGCATATCATCACATTTATTTATAAGAATTTTGCTATTTAGAATTGAACATTGAGCCAACTATTATTTTACTCTTACTTTCAAAAGGCATTCCTTATCTTTTAAATTCTGATGCACTTATCTCAATTAAAAAGAAATTAAAGACAAACAAAAAAATTTACGAGCTGAACTCAAAACTTATTCGCTTTAGAGACTAAAAGTATATTAAAATTAATTTTAAAACTAAGAAAATGGTATTTTTTTTAATCAAACAAATTTTTTATTCCTTTTAATCAAACAAATTTATTTCTTATTTTATTTTTTATGTATTTTAACTCCAAACACATTCTACCACGGTATTTGGTTTATAGAAAAGAAAGAGAGAATAAAATTTAAAAAAAAATCAGTATGTTGGAACAATAAAAATAGAGAGAATATAAAAAAGAAAATTGAATGTATATTTATTTAGCAGAAAATAAAGCTTTAAAAAAATTATATGATAAGATGTGAGATATTTGTAAAAACAATACTCATTCAAAAATAACTTGTAACTAGTTATTAATAATCGATTGATTTAGCCAGGTTTCTGGAATGACAATGACTATGCGCCATAGTTGATCGATTATTAGAATTTTATTATCTATTAAAATGATGTTATTACCTCCACATATAACTGAAAGGATGCATATTAATGGGTATTGTTCACATAATTTGAGGGTAGTTTTGTTCTAATTGTTTGAACGTAACGGGTGAAGGTTATACCAGAGATTGGTTTCAACGTTTTAAGGTAGTTTGTGCATCCGAAGTTACTAAAACCCACCTATATAATTTTCTAGTTTCTAATGAATTTTAACCATATTAATCGAAATATATTACAAAAACATGTTAAAACGTGTATTACTAGCACTCCTCCTGAAGCTTAAGAACTTCAAAGGTACAAGTTTTAGCTGCTTTGACACGGTCAAACCAAAAAGGTAAAAAAACCTTTGAAAAGTATACCAAAAACAACAAATGAAATGAGGAAAAAGAGAAAAACACCTGCAATTACATTATGTGGAAGCATACAATTAAAAAAGGGACCATTATTAATTAATGGAATCTAAAACTGGTTTTAAGATTGATGAATCCCTTAACAAACTGCTCTCAGACTTAAATTATTAAAGCATGGCCTATACCTACTCTGAACAAAACAACATAGCCGCCACCACTGCCGGCAACAATACAACAATGGTTCTGAGATTGCAAAATTTGATTTGGTTCTTAAAGGAATAAATTTGATATGACATGTTCAATGATTACTGGTTGGCAAATTTGATTCCCTTCTCAATTGATGATTTGAGTTCACCCTTAAGGCTATCTAGGCATTGTTGCTCGAAATCCGAGAGAGGTCCCAAGCCCAGAACTTCCTCCACACCATTCTTCCCAAGCCTCACCTGCAAAAAAATTTCATTATATTGTCAATAACGTGGAGTTAAAAGCTCTGTTTATAAAACAAGTTCAGTCACTAATTCTATACAAACAGAAAACAAATAAAACATGTAGTTTTGTCAAATCAAACAGTAGCCTTAAAGCATTCAGAGCAGTAAAATTAGAAACACAACAAGAGGGTTGCAATTCAGTGACCTTGGAAGCAAAGAAGGGAAGTTCGGTGACAGTGGATTGCACAAATGAGCACTCAACAACATCTGGGACCCCGTTGAGGCCCTTGAGACAAGCATCTGCGAAAAGCGCACCAGCATAGCTGCAAAAGCCATAATAAATTAAAAATGTAAGATTTTATCTTAAATCAATAATTGACAAAATTTACCACTGCACCACCCTTTTGGATCACACTATCAATAATGTTCTCTGAATAAACTGTGACCATACTTACGCCATTGACAAGGTTGCAGAACCCTTTCCAGCCTTAGCTTCCACAACTTCTGTCCCTCCATCTTGAGTCCTCTTTGTAAGAGCCTTGATGACATCATCATCAAGATTGGCTTTTGGTGTAGCCTATACAAGTGAAAAACAGAAGGATTCAGAAGATTACATATCAAGCTAGGCAACCATATTAGATGTCAGGGAGGAAAAAGAAAAGCTAGTAGAGCCGGAAAGTACTTGAGAAAATAGGGGTAGAATAGTGATGCCTGCATGGCCACCCACAACAGGTACATTGACACCTGCAGAAACATAAACAAACCCAAACCGAATCAAATGTTGTATACAACTAAATACAAATTTCTCTTCAAAAAGAAGAATGATTTAACCAATTTCAACCCTTCCCTCCACCCCAACCCACTTGCGAAATTTTTTTCTTGAAATTAGTTGGAATTTTCTTCACGCAAGCATGACAATCAAAATCCGACATCAAACTCTGCCTCATTTGTGTCATCAGTACGTCACTAAATAAAACACTAGTAAACAAGACATTACAGCAATTGTTAAGTTTGTTACAATAGACTTACCATCAATTGGAACATTGGCTTTCCCAGCATAGAAAGTTTTTGCCCTAACAACATCAAGGGTGGTAACACCAAACAATCTCTTCTCATCATATGTTCCAGCCTTCTTGAAAACTTCAGCAGCAATAGGAACAGTGGAGTTCACAGGATTGCTTATCATGTTAACAAGGGCCTGATTCCAAATATAAAAATATTCAGTATCAGATCAAAATCATATTATAAAACACTACAAGCCCATCATACGTAATATAGAACAGGACATGCACACAATTAAACTTTTAATTAACTAAATCCTATACTTGTAGTGGGTGGGAAATGAATTATATCAACCATATCAAATTTTAATATCAATTTAATTTCCAAAACATTTCGATTAGAACAATACACAACAGCCACTGTTTAATAGTGTATCCATGTTAACTAAATAAAAGAAAATGAATTGATCATCCAAAACCAAACTTAATGAAAGCCAGCATATATGTTTCCCACAGACAAAGTCAGCAAAACAATACTGACAGAGGCAAGCAATATCAACTAACAACCAAAAAGGATGGAAACACAACTCAAGGAAACAGATACTCACATGGGGACAGTATTTAGAAATAGCAGTACATAGTGTCTTGACAATGCCAGCATTGATATTAAAAAGATCATCACGAGTCATTCCAGGCTTTCTGGGGACACCAGCAGGAATTATAACAACATCTGCACCCTCCAAAGCTTTTCCAAGCTGTTCTTCACCTTGGTACCCCACAACCTGTAATCTCAATTAAAAAACTTACAGTAAAACTTGCAAGAAAGCTAGTTTAATGCACAGCATAAAAACAGCTCAACATCAAACTACAGTAAAGATTCCATTTTTTGGAAAAATTAAAACCAAAAACGGTGTAGTAGTGCACCTCCTGCTATTAACATCAAGCCACATTAAATACACACTTGCCAAAAAAAAACTACGAAAGGGTAGATCCGTCCTCCTAAAAAAATTAACTCAATTCACTGTTATATTATCATCAAACCACAGTAAAACTTTCATATTGCAATCGCCCCCGGGAAAAAAAAAAGTTACACTAGTACATCTCAGCGAAACGGATCGAACTATAATACCTCAGCATTAAAGTATAATGAGGTTTGTATCTTCAAAACTCAAATCTGGTATAATGATTAGATCATTATGCCGCAGAACGGGACTCGAGATCCACAGTTTCAGAAAAAAACTGTGGATGATCCTATCCACAACATACGCTTAATCACAAGATTATAAAAATAACTATAAACAAAACATAATAAAAAATAGAAGGCGACTTAACCCTACAGGATTCCCGATCCCCCCGAAAAAACACGAAACCACACTAAACCTAGCACCTTAGCAAAATCTCCACATAGAGGACAAACTAGAATCTTAGATCAAACCACATTAAATTTTCAATTTTTGCAAATACCCGCAAGAGGGTACACAAAAAACCGCACTACGTAAAGCTTGCAACTTCACAACGACCCCAATAAAGGGTACCTCATTCAAACACAGCAAAGTCTATAATTTTGAAAAAATAAAATAAAAAATAAGGTTAATTGGGTGGATCGGGATACCTCAGATCTGGTGTTAATGTGGCTGACGTCGGCGGCGACACCAGGGGTGCCGGCGATATCGTAGAGGGAGAGACTAGAAACGAGGGGGCTAAGCTTCATGAGAAGGGAGAGAGGCTGCCCGATCCCGCCGGCGGCGCCGAGAACGGCGACCTTGCGCTCTGGCACCGGCTCGGAGGCGTAGCCACGGCGGGAGAGGTGGGAGGCGCCGCGGGTAGCAGCGGAGTGGAGGGATCTGAGCATGGATGGCTTCATCATTGTTCTCTCTCTTCGGTTTTTGCTTCGTGTCACAACTTTTTAGTGAAAAACGAGAGAGAAAATGGAATAAAGGGTTGGCGAAAGGAGAGTCACAATTTATGGTGAGAGTGTGAGTGAGTTTGAAGAGGCTGTGTGCCTGCAAGTTTTTCGGGTCCACACGAAATAATAGTTTTTCAAGAAAACGAGGAGTTATCTCGTCAAATACTACTCCTACTAGAGGCAATAAAATAAATGAGTTATGAATATAGTTTCTAAGAAAATGCAAAAAAAAAAAAAAAAATCAATGTTCTAAAATTTAAAGTAGTTTACTTAATCTTTTGTAAGTTTTAGTTATTGAGTAAGTTTTAGTTATACTCTTTTGTAAATATTTATGTTTTTATTTTTATTTTATAAAATTTGAAGTCATTACTTTTAATCTTAATATTTATTTTAAAATATGTAAATAATATTTTTATCTTACAAAAATCAATAGGTATCATGTGATGATGATATTACATAACAAAACGAGTAGGTGTTATTTTTAGATGGTTAAATGGAAACAATTTCCCTGTTGATTCACACAACAGTGTTGAGTAGGAAATATATATAAAACTATGGTGGATATTTTTGTAATTAACTTATAATATTTAAAATTAGAAAGATCTTGTTAACTTTTTTTTATGTACACTTCGCAATTTTCTTATAATATTTTTTTCATACTAAAATTTTATTATTATAAGTAGTAAAAAAATTGGTCGTTGATATACTATTATATAATGAAAAATGTATTTTCAGTCAAGCATGCCGAAAATCTTTAAAATTGTTGAATTTGTTATCAAACTAAAAATAAATTTTAAATAATATAAAAAAAATCACATTTTTTTCCAAGTCAAATTATTCTTCTGTATATATTGATTAACGATTTATTGAGATAGATTTATATGAAATTTTAACTTTATATCATAAGTAGAAGGAATAGTCTTCTTTGTATAATATACTTTTATTAAATATATAAGAACTTGATTAAAATGTAATCACAATAATACAAATAAAAATATTTTTGAAGACATGCCTTATCCGATAAATTTGTCAAATAATTATTTTATAGATATATCTAAATACAGAACTATATACTATGTAGATACCATTTATATACCATGTAAAACATTTCAAGTATGCAGCTTTTGAAAGAAAATGGAAATCTAAATAATTTATGATTACCATGTTTTTATAAATCTAGTTTAATTTTCAGTAAGCACTTCTTCTCGAAGTTTTACGAAACAATAGTCAAAACAATGTACTTCCTCTTGAAGTTTCAAGAAACAAGAGTCAAAACAATTAGTCTATCATTATTTTATTCAGATGCAGCCTTATTGTATTTACACCAGCTCCCAATCAATTTCTGTATCAAGTTCCATATCCATATTCACCTTCTTTGATGAAAAATCTACTTTAGAATCTCCGTACCATATTGCCAACTGTTCATACTCTTTGGATAACCTCTTCTTTGAAGAAAATGCATCCCGGATTTTTTCCTGTCATGAGAAAGAATAACAATGATATATATAATATTTCTTAATTTTACTAAGGGCATAACTTATTTTTAAAAATAAACTTCATTTCCTTGACCTATCCTATCCATTCGATGTAAAATCTAAGGAATCAAGGGAGATATATCAAAGCAACTACATTGTCCTCTGTTAGATATTGTTTAGATATTATTTAATATTGTTAAGATATTGGTAGATATTAACTATAATATCAAACAATATCTTCTATTTATTCTGTTATTTTCAGTTATTCTTTTAGTTGTATCTCTCTACTATAAATAGACTACCCTATGTGTGATTTATACATAAGGGAGATTAATCTCAAACTCTATTTCTTCTATATTCAACATGGTATCTAGAGCTTAAGGTTATTTTGAATTTTTTTTCGCCTTTGACCACTATTGAAGTCGCCACCACCGCCGCTATCGTTGTCGGTTATTTGGTAGTGTGAAAGTGCATGTCTAGGAAAGTTCTAACAAGGAAAGACTTGGTATTTAAGCGTGTCCATTAGTGACCCACCTCTCTTTCCTGGGAACTTACCTGGTGTACTGGTTCACGCCGCTGTCACTATCGCCTCCGCCCTTTATGAGTTCTTCCGCTCCTTTTAGTATTTCCAATTCTGTCAGTACTGCGTCTGATCCTTCCATCTACACTAACTATGTTAATGTACACTTATCCATTGACAAGTTAACTGGCCCTAATTATGCCACATGGTCATCAGATGTCAGATTATGGCTTAAGAGTCAAAAGTATCTTGATCATCTTGCCCCGAAAGCACCTACTCTCACTCCTGGTGAGGAAGACCGTTGGGACACCATTGATGCTCAATTATGCGTGGTTCTCAAGGGTACTCTTGATCCTTCGTTAAAACAAATTTTTCGTTCCTACGAAACATGTGCCAAAATCTGGGAACATGCCAAGTTATTATACACCAATGATACTCAACGTCTCTATGATGTCTGTTCTAAATTTGTAGATGTTATTGCCTCTAAACATCAAGATTCTATGACTGATTATATGGGCAAAATTCATGCTCTTTTTCATGAGTTCAATGAGTTATTGCCTCCTTCCCCGGATCCTGCCACCGAGATCGACCTGCTCCACTCTTTTGTGTATACCAGCAAAACTCAACCCTGACACACCTGCTTCTGTTAATGATTCTTCTGCATTGGTATCTCACCGTGATGATCGAACTCGCCCTCGCAAACAGGGAAAAGGACGTCCTAAGTGTGAACATTGTGGCAAGCTAGGTCACAAGATTGACCAGTGTTATGCATTACATGAGTGTGAACATTGTGGCAAACTAGGTCACAAGATTGACAAGTGTTATGCATTACATGGTCGTCCTACTCGATCTACTGCAGTTGCTCAGACTGATTTTTCCCCACCTTTATCTGCTAAGGATCCTCCTTCTTCTATTTCATCAGACACACCTGCTATGTTCAACAAATTTCTCAAATGGTATAAGGATCAACAGTCTTCTAGTTCCACTGTGTCTGTCGCACACACAGGTACATTTTTTGCTGGTCTGACCCAATCTTCTTCTGGTCCTTGGGTTTTTGATTCAGGAGCCACTGATCATATTACTGGTAACAAATCTTTGTTCTCCTCTTTATCCTCTCCTGATCCTTTACCTTTTGTTACACTAGCTGATGGCTCTAGAGTATCATCTCATGGTGTTGGAACTGTTAAACTTTTCCCTTCTTTAACCATTAATAATGTTCTTTATGTCCCTGGGTCTCCTTTTAACCTGTTATCCATCAGTCGTCTAACTCGTTCTCTTGATTGTGTTGTTTCTTTTACCAACAATTCTGTGTGTTTACAGGACCGAAGTTCGAAACAGGTGATTGGCACAGGATGTGAGTCTCATGGTCTTTATCATCTTCGTCCCTTTACACATGTTGGTGCAGTTATAGAGTCTCCCTCTCTTCTCCATGCTCAGTTAGGTCATCCAAGTCTTGCCAAGTTATAGCAACTTGTCCCTGCCTTATCTAAATTGTCTAGTTTGGCATGTGAGTCGTGTCAATTAGGCATGCATAGTCATACTTCCTTTCCTCATAGTGTCACACGTGGTGCTTCGTTCCCTTTTGTCGTGGTTCACTCTGACATTTGGGGACCTAGCCGCGTTAAGTCTACTTTAGGTTTTCAATACTTTGTTACTTTCATTGATGATTATTCCAGATGTATTTGGTTATTTTTGATGAAAAATCGTTCTAAATTATTTCATATCTTTCAAACTTTTTTCAATGAAATTCAAACTCAGTTCGGTGTTTCTATTAGAGTTTTGCGCAGTGATAATGGTCGTGAATATCTTTCTCATTCTTTTAAACAATTCATGGCTTCTCATGATATTTTGCATCAAACTTCTTGTGCTTATACACCTCAACAAAATGGTGTAGCTGAACGTAAAAATAGACATCTTATTGAAACAACTCGCACTCTTTTAATTCATGGAGAGGTTCCTCAGCATTTTTGGGGTGATGCTCTTCTTACTGCATGTTATCTTGTTAATCGCATGCCATCTTCGGTTCTAGATAATAAAATACCTCATTCCATTTTATTCTCTCATGGACCACTTCATCCCTTACCTCTAAAAGATTTCGGGTCTACATGTTTGTTCATAATTTTAGTTCTAGTCTTGACAAACTTTCTCCTAGATCACATAAATGTGTTTTCTTAGGGTTTACAAGATCACAAAAAGGATACAAATGTTTTTCTCATTCTCTTAACCGTTATTTTGTGTCTGCAGATGTCACCTTTGATGAGTTCTCTTTTTATTTTAAAAGTCAATCTTCACCTCTGTCTCCATCCAATATTGTCAACACTCCTAGTACATTTAATGTTCCTGTTGTTTGTGACCCTCTAACTGTGTCTTCTTCACCATTAGATTCTACTTCGCAGTCAACTTCTTCTTCACTACCTCTTCAGGTTTATAGTTGCCGAAACCAATCACAACCACCACCATGTGACTCTACTCAAGTGCCAACTACTCTGTCTCCTCCGGATGTGACACCTGAGTCTGACCTTCCCATTGCCTGCCCTCCGAAAAGGTATCCGTTCTACACGGAATCCCTCTCCTCATTATATTGGTTTGAGTTATCATCGACTGTCATTACCTTTTTATACATGTCTCGTTACCGTCTGGGAAATCTGTTGTTGGTTGCAGGTGGGTGTTTGCTATCAAAGTTGGACCTGATGGTACTATTGATCGCCTCAAAGCACGTCTTGTGGCTAAAGGTTATACTCAAATTTTTGGGTTGAATTATGGAGATACCTTTTCCCCTGTGGCAAAGATGACTTCTGTTCGTTTATTTATCGCCATGGCCGCTCTTCAACAATGGCCTCTTTATCAACTAGATGTTAAAAATGCTTTCCTCAATGGTGATTTGCAAGAAGAAATCTATATGGAGCAACCTCCTGGGTTTGTTGCTCAGGGGGAGTCTTCTGGGATGGTATGTCGTCTTCGCAAATCCCTATATGGCCTAAAACAGTCTCCTAGGGCCTGGTTTGGAAAGTTTAGCAAGGTTGTTCAACAATTTGGTATGACTCGGTATGAAGCAGATCACTCTGTCTTTTATCAACACTCAAGTGCTAGATGTGTTTACTTGATAGTATATGTTGATGACATCGTTCTTACAAGTAGTGACAACCATGGCATCTCTCAGTTGAAACAACATCTCTGTCACCATTTTCAGACCAAAGATCTTGGCAAACTTAGATATTTCTTGGGTATTGAGGTGGCACAGTCCAATGATGGTATTGTTATATCTCAGAGGAAGTATGCCATGGATATTTTAGAGGAAACTGGGTTGATGAATTCAAAGTCTGTTGATACGCCCATGGATCCCAATACTAAACTTTTACCAAATCAGGAGGAGCTTTTACCTGATCCTGACCAGTATAGAAGATTGGTTGGAAAATTGAATTATCTTACAGTTACTCGTCCTGACATTTCCTTTGCAGTCAGTGTGGTAAGCCAATTTCTTAATTCCCCATGTGAAGATCATTGGAATGCAGTCATTCGTATCTTAAAGTATACTAAAGGATCTCCTGGAAAAGGATTGTTATATGATTCTAATAACCATACAAGAGTTGTTTGCTACTCGAGATGTCGATTAGGCGGGATCTCCTTCGGATAGAAGATCTACATCCGGATATTGTGTCTCCATTGGCGGTAACTTGGTCTCATGGAAAAGTAAGAAACAAAGTGTTGTGGCAAGATCTAGTGCGTAGCAGAATATAGAGTTATGGCCTCAGCTGCTTGTGAACTTGTTTGGCTCAAGCAATTGCTTAGAGAGTTACAATTTGGAGATGTCACTCAAATGTCACTTGTGTGTGACAATCAGTCGCTTCTTCATATTAGTTCTAATCCTGTCTTTCATGAGAGGATCAAACACATTGAGATTGACTTGTCATTTCATTCGAGAAAAGATTATGTCCGGAGACATCAAGACCGAGTTTGTTAACTCAAGTGATCAGTTAGCGAGATATTTTTACTAAATCTTTACGGGGTCCTAGAATTGATTATATTTGTAACAAGCTTGACACATACGATTTGTATGCTCCGACTTGAGGGGGAGTGTTAGATATTGTTTAGATATTATTTAATATTGTTAAGATATTATTAAATATTAACCATAATATCAAACAATATCTTTTGTTTATTCTGTTACTTTCAGTTACTCTTTTAGTTGTATCTCTCTACTATAAATAGACTACCCTATGTGTGATTTATACATAAGGGAGATTAATCCCAAACTCTATTTCTTCTATATTCAACATCCTCTATGCGAAGAAGAACTTAACAAAAGATTTTATAGAGTAGCAGATATTAAAGTGTACTAAGCACATAACACAAAAACACAATATTTACTTGCGTAATAAGTTAACACATAATGAGAGAAGTCAAAGGTGGTACCTTATATGATCTAAGCTTTCGAGTTCTATGGACAACTGCATGTAGTTCCCTATCCTGGACATTTACACAATCTTTCTCTGGCTTTGGATCAGGATCATCGTTCAATTGAATGGTTTCCATGCAGGATGCAATAGAGGTTACCTGTGATTTACCTGAAAACACAAAACTAATATTAGATAGGTGACAAAACTAACATTAAACATGTAATCATGAATTATAAGATTTCTAAGTACAAAAAAATTCCTATTGTTATTCATTTAGTTCACTATCTTTAAACTTTACAAAAAATGAAAAATTTGATTTGATCATGAAATATATCAAACAAATAAAAGATGAATTTCTCGTAAATGGAAATTTAGAGAGAAAAACTATGTATACCATGTCCAAATACATGAATTATCAAAGACATTATTTGATTTGATTGATCATGAAATATATCAAACAAATAAGAGATGAATTTCCCGTAAATGGAAATTTGAAGATATACCCAATATTCATTTTCAAAAGAGCAGTTTTCAAGCGACTTACTTTTGTTCATAGGTAAGGAACAACTGAAGCATGAAGGTTCAGTCTTTGTCATAGACCTTTCACTTGAAACTGCAACCTCAGGCAAAACATCAGCAAGTATATCATGTGTGTTCTGATCAGTATCAGAGGATTTAGGAAACACATAGACAGAGACTTTAATTGATTCGTTAATTGATTCTTCCTCAAGAGACTGGGAACTCATCACTGGGGACGTGTTCATAGCATTAATCAAACATGAGTTTTGCCCTGCATTCACATTCATTGTTCTGATTGAAACTTTGTATCCAAAGTCACAAGAATCAGAATATTCATTGGGTATAGGAAATTTCAGGGATTCTTTCCCTTCAACCGATATCAAATTCATTGGTTTGGGAACAGACTCAACAGCAACCTCTTCAACAACCTCTTCAATGCTTGTATGAATATTTTCTTTAGTAGAACCAGAAGTCCCTTTTGGGTCATCACTGACTCCTTCCTCAGTAATATAAGAATTTTCCAGCTCCAAAGAAACTGAGCAAGATTCATCACTAACTTTATTTGCAAGGATGTGCCTGGTATGTCCACTGGCTTTCTGAATATCAGCAACATCAATGTCATCAGAATCATGCAACGCCAAGCAAAAATAATTGATAGGAATTTCCATATCCTTAGTTTTGAATGAGAATTCCAGGGATTCTCTCTTTCCAAGAGAGATCAAGTTCGTTGGTTTAGAAACAGACTCAACAACGCTCTCTTTAATGCTGCTCTCTTTAATGCTTGTGTAGATGTTTTCATTCTTAGACACGGGAACACTCTCTTTAATGCTTGTGTAGATGTTTTCATTCTTAGACACGGGAGTTACTCTTGAATCATCAAGACCAACTTCTTCTTCGTGACTTATGTAAGAATCTTCCACTGAGCATGCTTGATGCTTATTATCAGCTATATCAATGGAATTAGAATCCATCAATGCCCCATAACAATGATGGATGGGATTTTCCTCATCCCACTTTTTATTATTATTATTATTATCTGACTCAGCTGAATCTGAAAAGTCAATGCTATTTGTCTCGGCTACTGCATGATGATCCTCATGAAAGGATGGTAATAGTTCATCTACTATTCCAGAATAAAAGATTTTCACACTATCTCCAACATTCTGGACCTGATTCTCAAGATATTTGACTGCATCCTGATACAAACAAATAAAGAGAAAATAACAATGGCACTTAAAAGATTGAAAGAAACTGAATAAAAGATCAAGCAACAAGTGGAAATCTGTAATTCAATAATTGAAGTTCTTTGAATACCAACAAAAAAAGAAAGTTTTTTTAAACCACCCCTGGATAGGAAAGCTTTAATTATAGGATAATTTAAAAGCAATCATTTAAAAACCCTATCAGAATGGATAGATTACACCTCACAACTCCATAAATATAATCACAAAACTATTTGTAAACTATTGAATTCTTAAATTAATATTGTTCTAAAACCAAGGTTCATACAAGAATTTTGTAACCAAAATTAAAAAGTCTTCTATTCTTGAGGTTCCAAATGCAAATTACAAAAATAATGCAAAAGTGAGGAGAGAAGAGAAACAAAAGGAAAAATAGAAAAACAATAAAATAATACCTGGCATACAATATCATCCACCTCCTGGCACACTGTTTCAAATTTCTGGCAAATATTCTCCACCCAATTAATATTTTTAAACCTCAAATCCATCGTGAACTCAGGACTACAGCTTGGAATACTCAGGTTCACAAAATGTCAATCCTAGATAAAACTGCAACAATAATGGAAGAAAGATCTTACACATATTAAAGTACACACAAAAAAAGCTAATATATCAAATAAAACTGTCATGACAGTATATTTCACCTTTAGCTTAAGGTCCCATGTTTCAAAATTCAAAAATTCAGCAATAATAACACAGTTTCAACCCTAGCTTTTTATCCTAATTTCAAATATCCATCAAGCCTCAAGCAAAAAACCATTGAGAAAATTAGACTGGTATCAATCAAATTCCTCCAAATTTCAAATTTTCATACCATCTGACTTATTCTATAATATAATCTTATCATACTTCTATAATCTTTAATTTGATTTGGAAGTTACAAATAGAACCCCTCAATACTCCTGTCCGTGCAGCTTGAATAAATGAATTTATTTTGATTTTCGTAATCATCATAATCCAAAACGCTAAACAAAATACAAAATTTAACACTTTAACACTTCCAGTACAGAGTATTATGCAAAAGCAAAAGGTGAAAACTTTGACACATCAAAAGAGAACATGATCAATTGTGTGTGGAAAAAAACATGATGGATGTGATCAAATAAGCATGATTAGAATTCAATTAAGGTTAATAGCATACAAAAACAGTGATCAAATACCGGTAACTTGAGTAGACGTACCGACAACGTGAGTAGCTATCGTCAAAAGACAGAGTGCGAGAGGATTTTGAATTTGAGGATGAGAGTAGAAATGGGAGGGTTTTAGAAACCCTCCGCTCAGAAACAGAATCCATCTTTATTGTTATAATCTTTTGTTATAAATTAGGGAAGAGAAGGTTTACTCCCATATTTTTTGTTACTATATCTAAAATTTAATATATTTTAAAAAAATGTTTAAAATTTATTTTTCGTATTATTAAAAATTCATAATTTTAGTTTAAAATAATAAATTTTACGTATTTTGGTTTACTCCTATTTTAAAACACATGTATTTAACATATAATTAAGAAATAATATATCTGTTACTAAACTCTTTGATTAATTAAATATACAAAATAGCAGTAGTTTTATTTTTCTTTTTCTTCACAACTTGGGTCTACTGACAATATCGTAATTATTGGAGTGTGATAATAATGTTGTTCATGTGTAAAATTTATCTCCTATCATGTCTAAGTTGTCAAAAATGTTTTTAAGGAGAGTAAAAGATTGAAAAATTAACAAGTCTAATAACAACATAATTTACCATGAGTTGAGAATGCCTCACATACAAACTCAATTAAGGATATGCCACTTAAACTAAAATAGGTATAGAACTAATTTAACATATATGTTTTTAAGTAGAATATTAATAAGAACACGAAAAAATATATATAAAACAAAGTTATGCAACCATTCTCTCAATTTCCACGTAGTTAATAACTGAAGATGTTTACAAATTTAAATATTTACATTTCGGTTCAATATAAATAACCATAAAACTCCATATATTTTTATTTTAGATAAGACTCAGCAAATTTATTTCAATTAATTCATATTAAATTTTTACAAATGTTGATTTAATTGGTAGTTTATATAAATATTCATATTTCATTAATATTTTATTTTTATTTTTATTTCGCTTGACACTTAAAAATAATTTAATTTTATAATTAAATATTAATTCAATATAATATTTGAACTTAAAATTATCTATAAGTTCGTAAGAGGATTTAAATTTTATGAATATTCATTTTTATGAAAATTAAAAAATATTTAAATAAATATTATATATTATTTTTTGTAGAATTATTATCATTTTATAAATAAAATAAAAAAATATTTCTGTCCTTTTTATTCTCTGTTCTCGTTCAAAATTAACGTTACAAAATTTTTAAATTTACTTATTTTTAGTAAATATAATTTGAAAGTTTGATTACTGAGATAATTGAAGATTGTTTAAGCAAAAGATTTATTTTAAAGTAGTTTTTTATTTATGTGTTTCCCATTTATTTTGTTAAGCAACGTTACTTCTAAAAATAGCGTTATTAATAATTTAACAGTTTTAATTTTCATTTAATAAAAATGTTTATAATATACCAATAATTTTCATTAAACAACTAGTATCTTGTGCTGATGATACTCTCAAAAATAATATATCTAAGGAATTAAAGATAAAATCCTCACATTATTTCAAACTAATTTACATATGGTATACACTAATAATTATTTAAAATAACTTTTCCCGTATTTCCTAGTTAGATGTAAAAATAATGGAGAAAGAATGAAATCTTAATCCGTACCAACTTAATTGTTAAATTATTGTTAATATTACCTTACTAAAGCACGTCTCACTCCCAAATACTTTCACAACCTAATAATCAATAATTAGTTGACTGAAATGGATAATTGAGCACACTTAAGGAAAAAATAGGGGAAATAACTGGTAAGTAGAAGTGTAATCTACAAAACCATAATAACTTGATCTCTTTAGACTATTTGAAATTTAATATGAAACAATGTAGCAATACTCTCATTAATAATGTTAATATCTTTAAAATGTTATTTTAAAACGTTAAGCTAAGTGAGTGAAATGTACAGGCACCAAAGGTTGTGAGGACTATGACAGGTGCGGCGCACTAAAGTGGATAACGTGTCCTTGGCATCAGGTCCGTGGCACTAAAGTGGACGTGCACTGCTCCGCCAACAAGAGTCTGTCCGAGAACAAATTCTCAATTCTTCCATGGGAACCGTGTTTTGAAGACTCACTGTTTCTTACTTTAATTACTCAGTTATGCTCCGCCACATATCAACCAACCAGATGTACGCAACCAACATGTCCAGTGGAGCAACATTTTACCAGAAATATACAGCCAATAACAGTGATCAGTAGAATACCACTTACTTATTATGCTTAGGGGTTCCGACTGAATACACAATTAATTCAAATCCATATAGCTAAATTAAATATTAAAATCACACATTAACTGCACAGTGGTTTAGAAGATTAATATGGTTCAACGCAAATGAACCCGTTCATAAGATAAAAATGTACTGCGACTAATCAAAAGCATCAGTATCTTAATGAAAAAGAAAACTATAGAAAATGAAATTTTACCGAAGCAAAATCAGGTTAGATTTTAAAATTGCCTTACTAATCTCACGCACAAAAGATATTTAACTGTCGATAAAGTACCGATATCTAAGAAGGCACAACCTAGACAAAGATTCGATAAAGCATGCATCACCCAAAAGGGTGAAAATAAACTAGAAACCACAACACAAAACTAGGAAGAATATATAAAGCAGCTGCGCATAAAACGAATTCCACAAATGTGCAATTATGCATGCTACAGCATATTTAGGAAGAAAAGGGTATAGAAGAAGGAACAATCAGAATGGTAGATAGAAAATTGTGGGGCAATCAAGATAAGTTCCAGAGAAAACAAAGAATGAATGCAAAATCTATATCCAAAATATAAAACTGCTACTGTAAATTGAGTAATGCCATCCTCGTAGATTTAGGAGAACATTGGTTCACTATGAAATTAAGGGTCTCGGTTCATAATGGGTCCGACCCGTTTGATCCATAATAGGTCCGATCTTTGGACCCTTGTTATGTCAAGAGCTTTACGGAATTCTTATCATCTCATTAGATTTAAGAATGCATTGCTTTCCAAACCCTATACATCAAAAGGATCTGGAAATGTTTAAGGAAGCAACGATGTTAATCAATCTCAAGCTTCTTTGAAATTTAAAACAAAATGGCTGGCCAAAGTAAAGAGTGTAAAACAATGTATGTTCCTCATCCAGTCTGCACATTAGCAATAAAAAATCTCATGCCAATACACAGAAGTTGATGCAAAGTCCTTCGTCATCAACCAGCAAAACAATCTAAATCCTACCAGATGGGAAATAACAGCATCAATTCATTGAAGTTTGCAATCTCACAGCTATCTTTTACAAACCAACACTGACTGGGTTCTTTACCACAGTCGTAAACTCGTACTCAAAGCAAGACAGTTATAATGCACAATATTGATGGAGTAAGAGAACTACAATTTAAAATTATGAAAAGTTCCAGAGTATTAACAACCCATGCCAGTGAAGAGACAGCTATTGAAACAACTGGCCACTCTGCTGACAAAAAATTCATACAAAAAGAAAATCCTTAGACAATTAGACAAAGTGTAAAAACTCCATTCAAGTGCCCAACATAAAATACCACAGGACCAACATTGTAAAACATAAAAAAAGTCATTTTTAAAAATTAAATAGTATAGGTACATTAACATAATTTATTAAATAATTTCTAAAGAATATAAAATATTTAAAGCTTAAACATATCAACAATGTTAAAACTGGAAATAATGTAAAGACCACAAAGTTCAAGTATCTGGAATCTAAAGTAGTGATGGAAAAATAAATTAAAATGTCACTCACAATATACACCCGGAGTGGTTAAAATGGAGAAAAATATTGGAGGTTATTTATGACAGCAACAAGCTTAAGCATAAGTTGTTTCATACTACCGTAAAACCAGATAAACTCTAAAGGGGCAAAAAAAAAAAATCGTATCAGCAAAAATATATATGTTAAGTTAGGCGTCCACAAATGATTATATGCGAGATACTGGTTCAGCGTGTATTGAGGAAAAGATAAAAAGACAATCATTTAAGGCTCATTTCCATGTATAGGAGCCAGTGGGAGTGGCCACAAGATTCGAAGACATGGTTTTCAGCCATGTAAAAAGGAGATAAAAGGAGTTAAGAGGGATATTAAAAGAAATTATGAAAGGGAATATTATTATAAATAATATTAATTAAAAATGGCCTTTAATCAAATCCAATAACGTCATGTGATCCATGTATTTGACCTTACCTGGTGGGATAGAATTTTATTATTATTGAATAATATAAAAATATTAATATACTGATGTGAAAATACCTGTAATCTACAATATAAGAAATTAATACACTTGCCTTTTCCATTTCACAAGCAATTGATAAATTAGAGAAACCAACATGGAAATACTGAGGGTGGAAGATAGTCTCTAAAATTTAAAATGTCTTTTTTTTTTATAATTATTCAACCAGTACTTAAGGTGTACTTAACTGTATCCCAAATCATACCCAATCTCATTAGAGCCATAACATTTTTTTAAATAACAAACTTCATTACTATACCTAACAAGAGGGTTCAAAGTCAGAAATCTTTTGCAATGAAAAAACGACTTTGCATTGCGTAAGAGTAAAATGGTCAAATATCACAAATTACTTTACCAGAAACATATTTACAAAACGTTTTGACTCCCAAGTGTATGAAATCAATTCCAAGTTAGAATGTTTATTGGATGAGAAAAGTTCATATACCAACACAAATTGTAGACGCCATTACACTTACAACATGACTAAATTTGTGAAGAAAGTCATTATATAGTCACGCATCACATCAACAGTGTACACACTAGGTTAGAGAATAAGTATACACTTGTTGAAGCCATTCTAGTTACAATCTGACTAAGATTGTATAAAGCAAATTATGAAAATAAAATAGCATCCAATCAACATGATGAAAACACTGGATTGGAAAATATTGATAAACTTGAACAAAACGAAACCACAGCATTAAACAACATTTGTCAAAACTAACCATAGGAAAACGTGACTTAGTACAAACTCAGCTAATAAAATCACCATAATCCAGAACTATATAATTAAAACAAAGGCTGTAACAGCCCAGATGATCCTTCTAAAAGTACAAAACTAATCTATCACATTGGGTTTAAACTAATAACATTCATATGAATCAACGCTAGAAAAGGGAGCAAATGAAGTCAATAAGCTGTAAAAGTACAGGCTAACACATTCATTACACCAGAGCATATAGTCTGCAATTCACGCAATCACCAGAGGCACAAAGCATCTGCACCCAATAAGCGATGATACACCTGAATCAAACATCCATTCAACTTAATTCATCATTTCACAACCATCATTCAAAGAACATTATTATTACATTGTAAAGACAAAGGCTTATGACAAGAAAAGCAAATAAATCATTGCTCACCCTTTCTTAGGAACCACATGAACAAACAGCCATGTCAAGGGATCATGTATACACAACAAGAAATAAAGTCTTTTAACATAAATTAACAAAAACAACCACCTACAAATTATGAATGCAGAAGGAAAACACAACTACAAAACACATGCAACAAGATAAAATTAAATGCAAAAGCAGGGAACACAAACAAAAAATAAGACAAATAGCAAAACAACCTAACAGCAATACAGGCCAAAGAAGATAATCCAAGTGATTTGGAACATAGATAAAGAAACTAGTACATAGATAAACTTCCAACAACATATAGTCATCAAGACATAATCAAAAACAAAATAAAATATAAAGTAAAACAAAAGGTAAAAACAAATTTGAAGGCTCAGTTGAATTAGCCAGCTACTGTTGCATCAGAGAATCACAATATTGATTGTTCGAGTTCACAAAAACACAAATTAGTGTTATGATCCCAACAAAAACAAAAGTAATTGACTATGTCCGTTTCAGTCTAATAAATACATACAACGCACGGTTAAAAAAAACGCATTACCAATAATCAAAACATACACATCCACACCGAAAATATGAACACATTAACAACCAGGCAGTCTACATAGACATATAACAGAAAAGAAAACAAATGACCTAATTGTACTTTCGCCAGACAACCTTCAAATAAGATAAGCAACACAAACATCCAAGATTACCTCTTTAGTAGTAAGGGGGCACATTGGGGTACATCGAACCAGGTGGAACCCTAGGAACAGGAGAAGCACCAGAAGGAGGATGATGCTGGTTCTGGTATCCAGCCGAAGCTGATAAACCATAATGACCACCCTCCGGATATCCTCCACCACCTGCAGGCATGCCGCCAGAACCCGGCAACCTATACAAAGAGCCACCCCCAGCGCCACCAAGCCCCCCAGCAGCTCCTCCAAGCCCACCACCAACACCGGCACCTCCGCCAGATGCTCCTAACCCAGCTGCACCACCAAATCCCGTCGAGCCCGGCGCACCGTATCCACCATAAGGCCCACCCATCCCACCACCGTATCCGCCAGCACCCGCCATAGACCCAGGAACGGGGTTGGACGAATTCAGAGGATGATTATGGTTCCCCAGTGGAGGCTGTCCACCAAACCCACCATAAGAGCCCAACCCAACCGGACCTCCATACTGGGGGCCGCCATACTGCCCGGGCCCAGACCCCGCCGCAGGAGGTATTCCCATTCCAGTCCCCACTCCATCTCCATGTCCGTGCTGAACATTCCCATGGGCCTGGCCTGAATCCGGCCCAGCTCGCTTACCCTGCTTCCCATCCGTTATCGCCAATTTACAACTCAGTTGCCTTCCTTCAACAGTCTTCACGGGATCCAATAACGCAGCTTGAGCCCCTTCCGGAGTCTTATAAACAAAAAGCGCAAATCCCTTAGATTTTCCAGTTTGCTTATCAAAACCTAACGGTCCCTCTTCGATCTCACCGTACACGGAAAAATGCGCAAGGAGCTTGTCCGCGGGGAGGTCGGGCGGCACGTTGGCGACGTAGATCTTCCTGATCGCGACATCGGTGGCGTTGGCGTTCGAAGCAGAGTTCCCTGCGGCGGCGAGCTGCGTGACGGTCACGCGGCCATCGATGCGCTTGCTGGGTTCGCGGAGGGCAAGAAACGCGCCGTCCACGTGCCTGAACGTAACGAAGCCGTAGCCCTTGGACTTTCCAGTGGCCTTGTCGACGATCACGACGGCCTCCTCGAGCTCGCCGTAGGCTGAGAAGAGCGAGCGGAGGCCGTCGGTGGTGGTATCCCACCCGAGGCCGCGCACGAAGAGCTTCCGCTGCGACACGTCGGGATCCGCCACGGCGCGCACGGAAGAGAGCACGTCGGGGTGGCGCGCCACCGCGTCCTGAAGGATGTCGAGAAGCTGCTCCGGGGTGAAGCGCTCGATTAGTTTTCGCGCCTCGGAAGGAGAGAGTTTGAGAGGGTCGGAATCGCCGAATCCGTTCTCATCGAGCTTACGCTTCTTGGTCGGATCCATTCCGATTGAGATTGGAATTTGGAAGAGATTAAAGATGAAGTGTAGGAACGGTTAAACCCTAACCTAACCCTAATTTAGCACTCTTCTCAGAAAGTGGAGACTGAGACTGAGAGTAAAGAGAGAAAACAGGCAAAGATATTTGGGCATATATATCCAAAGTGAATGTTGGGCCTTTTCTATCAGCCCAATACATACTACTGGCAAGGTAATATGTGATTTCCAATTTTTTTATCCAAAGAAATTAAAGAGTTTATAATAACTCACGTATCATATTCAACCAACGAAGTTAAATTCTGGTAAATAAAATTATTCTAGGGAGTAATATTTTCAAATATGATAGTAACATATTTATTAGGTTTAAAACAATTACAATCTTATTATCTCAATTTTAAAATATTCTTAAATTTTTGTTTATTTTTTATATTTAAAATATTATTGAGAAATAATTTAATTAAAATATACACAAATATATATATATATATATATATATATATATATATATGCAAGTAAAATTGAATATTATATCAAAATTGTGAAATTTTATGAAAAATTAAAAATCAAAATTTGGAAAAATTTTAAAACAGCGTAAAATGTGATAACAATGTTTTGAAAATTGAATTAGTTGAGGTAATGGATTAATATACCACTGGTTCAAATACATAAATCGGTTTATGTTAAATTACGGAAAAAAAAAACTATGTAATAAATACAATGGCGAAGGGGTGATATTTTAAAAAATAATTAATAATTTTATTTATTTATTTACTGAATAGAAATAGAAGGAAATAAAATATTTTTGTATATAAAATTTTGAAAAGATAAAATTTTGTTGGGAGTGATGACACCTTTCTCCCTATCTACCTTTCATATACAGGTGATTCAAATCGGTTATACAAATTGACTTATTACAGGGAGAGTTAAAAATAGATAGAGTTCATTTTTATAATTCGATTTAATTTATTACGATTTGGTGGATTAAGTGAATTAATTTATTGATCATTTATTTTTTTATTTTTTAAATAAAGATTTATCAATTCAATCATTTAAATTATCATTTAAGTTATGATAAAAATAAAATTAAAATTTATATTAACACCTTACTCATATTTTTTTATTATTATTTTTTATTTAATATCATTTAAGTTATGATACAAACTAAAGTTAAAATTCATATTTTTTATTTAGTATCATTTAAGTTATGATACAAAATAAAGTTAAAATTCATATTGACACTTTATTCATATCTTATTATTTTTTTTTATTTAGTAATTAAAATGAGTTATTTAAAAATTAGATTTTTACAAAATATATAAAAAAGAAAAATAAATCTTTAATTCTTATTTTCTAAACAGTTGACGCATTTATTGGACTGGAATGTAGTTCATTGATTAATTGTGCTTGAACGAGTCTAGTTGATGATATCGTTTCAAACTAAATGTTTGATAAATAGATGAATAGGAGATTTTACAGTGTTTTGGATAAACATAAATTTATTTAATTTTTATCAAAATACGAATAATTAATCTATAACTTTTTTTAATAATTTTCATAATTTAAATTTATGACAAGGTTTGATTAAGTTAGATATAGTGAGTTAATCAGTATATAATTTTGAACTTAATGTCAATTATTATAATATTATATTAACACGTATTAATTTTTATACTTATAAAAATATAATCTAACTGATATATTTCTTATATACATAAATATTGAGTTTTGGTAAGAAATATATAAAAAATGTTTTGTACGTTATATATAAAAACTGACTTTAATATATTATAAATTGATAATATAATATTTAAAATATTTAAATTTAAATCAATTTAAATCATAAAAAGGGTGAGTTTAAATCGAGTTAAAAAAAATTGTTGTATTTTGAAGATATTAAAATTAAATTGTAAATATTCGAATGTTTAAACAGACTACGTGATATTTATTTTCGTCTACCATTCCTAAAATATTTTATTCAAATAAGAAAAAAAGTAAAACATTGTATTCAAATAAGAACAATATGTATGCAAGGAAGTAAGAAGTATAAAAAAATGATCTACCCTGATGGTAAAAAAAAATTACCTAAGTAAATGGATAATAATCTAATATTTTAATTTATTTGATTAATTGTTTTGTTCAACAAACCTCAGAGATTTCTTAAACAAATAATTGTTTAAAAATAAAAATAATAAACATCTTGAAAACCCTAGATAATTATCTCACGAGTTTCCTATTAACTAATGAAAAGGTTAGTACACAAAGTTATTAAGATACAAGATTAAATAACATTATTCATATAACCCACTCACAAAAACCACTTAACGTTTGATCACTTGAACCTTGGAGAAACATACGAGGAAGCGAGTTTTGTTGCTCATGATTTCCATCTCTTCGAGATTCTCTAGCTTAGTCCCAACGTTTGACAACAACAAGTTCTTACCTTTGACCTCGTCCTCCTTAAGCTTCTCATTGGACTCTACCACGATGTCTGAACAACAAATCCAAACTTTCTTCTTATCATTCTTTCTCCCTTTCTCAACTTTGGTGGGTGCATGTGCATGTGGATGTTCGACGCCCATGGTTGGCTCCTTCAGGAGATCGTGTGAAGGAATGAGGCTATAACCATCGTTACTTTTCTTGTTTGAATTCATGAGTTTTTGTTTGGTTGATGGAAAAACTCAGCATAATTTTTTTCTTTAATAGTTTTGAATTTCTTGGTGAGTAAGAAATAAAATATATTTATATGTTAAGTAAATTTTTCTTTTCTTTTTTAGTTCCAGTTTTGAATGGGCACGTGTCTCTGGTGAAAATTTGATCGATTTCGATTTCTCAGAGACTTAAGTTCTAACCAAATTTCAACCACGCAGATTCTTTTAACTTAGGCTAGCAACTAGTTTTTCAATCGAAACATGTATGACAATCGAAGATACCATATTATTGAGAAATGTCAACAACGCATCATATCATACAGATTGACAATCGAACGTACTATTTGTGGTATTTTTTATTAAGAAACGCGAAGTAAAGAAAATAGTAAAAGTGTCGAATCGAAAAGCAGTGCAAAATATTAAATTGCAGAGAACTGTAAAATGCGAAAAACCTCAAATTTGCATTAAGTGTAAATGGCAAGGAATCGAAATTGTGGAAATGTAAATAGCAGGAAATCGAAATTGCAGAAATGTAAATGACAGGGAATTGATAAACGTAAATTGCATGAAAGTAAATTACCAGGGAAAGTAAAGAAAACGATAAAGATAATCAATGAAAATGGAAATCCAGAGCATTAAAAACTTCATGATGCGTCGTTCTCCTGTAGACTGTTCACTTGCGCTTCTGTTGCTTCTGCCAATTTCCCCTCTTCCTTCAATCTTCGCTCTATTTATAGAGCACCCTTCAGGTAACCTCCTAAGAGCAGTTAACAAAAATGCCACCACGATCCAACGTGCACGTCCCTTAGTTCTACGGTTTAGAAAACTGCTTCCACGTTCCATACGCGGGCGTTTAACCGTTCCTCAATTTATAACTTAGCCATAATTTCGATAGACATGTAGGTTAACATTTCCCTTGATCTCGATTTCAAATCTTCGAGAACTTTGAATTGCTCCCCTTAACCTTAACATTACACTTGATTCTAATTTCTCGATTTTCTTCAACAATAGACATCAAATATTCTTCCTTCGATTCTCGATTCTGATTCTCGATCTATATGTGTTTCTATCTTGTGGTTACCGGGTGTCTTCTAACTGTCTTTTCGCTTTATCAATTTTTTAACCAACCATATGATCTTCGATTTTCTCTCTCTTGTTCTTTCGATCCTCGTATCGATCTTTTCTTTACTAACAAATGCCCCCTGGAAGAATATAAATATTTGTATCAATTTTTATATTCTTTCAAATATGACTCCCGCCCTTATTCGATCTTGAAACTCGAAATAACTCCTTAGGGTTTTAGAGTTTCTGAGGTTTTAGGGTTTTTCTACTTTATGTCACATATCACATCACCTCTGCCGCCACGTTTTTAATTACCCGCTTTAAATTCGTCGTTTCAAATACCCTACTCGGCCTCTTTAAATACTTTTATTAATTTTTTACCTTTGTTTTTTACCACGAACCTCACTTCTCCTTCGTTGCACTTCCTCGTCTTCAACCTTTCTTCGTCTTCCTCTTTTCCACCAACTGTAATGGCGACCTACAAATCCTCTGATTTCTCCGCCCCACCACTTTCCTCGGTGACTTCAAACCTGATAGAGATTAATGGGAAGAAGTTTGCTCCGGTTCCTTTGATGGAAGAAGCCTCACAAAAGATTGCCGAGACCCAGGTACTTATCCCTTACGTTGCTGATAGTATAAATTATGCGTTTGGTGGTCCTATCCGCTACTGTGGCGGATCGTTTTCTTCTTCCCTCAACCTTCCTTAAAGAGTAAAGCTCTTATTCATCAGTCCGAGGTTCGAATTGATTTTCTGAATATTATCTCAAAAGTGTATCGAACGGGTCCTCCCCACAAAAAACCTTTGTACATTAGGTGGTTTGACTGAGTAAAAACTAAGTTTGGGAATCATTGGAGAGATGTAGGGATCTTCGATTTCCTACATCTATCTCGATGTGATCTGTCGTTTTTAGATATGACCATGTTTTTATCTGCTGTCCATCTGTGGAACAAAGATTTACATGCACTGGAACTTCCCTGTGGTCCCCTTTCACCCACCCTTTTTGAAATTGCTGCAATTACTGGACTAAAACCCACAGGGGAGAAATACTATAAGGGTGTTTTCCTTTCGGATAATTCTCTAAGGTCAAAAATCGATTGGGAATCGAAGGCATATGGACATTTCCTCGAAAAACATTTTGTCGACGATCAATCAATAGCTATTTCTGATGAAGAGCATGTGGTCTTCCTGGTATATTGGCTCTGCACTCACGTCTTCTGTCCCCGATCCATCCAAATCTCATCCCATATCTATAATCTTGTCTATCTCCTCCATATTGGCCAACCCAGGATCTGTTTAGCGAAGCTGTTATTAGCCCATGCTTATGCTTCTTTCGATGAGGCGGTCGACATTTTGAATACCCCAAGGGCCTCAGGGAATTTTTCGGGTCCCATCTGGTTTCTTCAACTATGGCTTACCTCGATTTTTAAAAGTATCCTCCCTCCAACCTCTAACATTCCCCCGAGTTTGAATTTGGAAGACGCTCGATTGTCCTCTCGACATCCTCACAAAAAATCCGACGAGGCTAGTTATCGAAATTACCTAAAATTTTTGTTGACTCGATTTCATTTTGAGTCAAACTTAGCCCCTTTCACAGTATATCATGGGAAAGTAAGTGACAGACTTCGAGGGTCGGCATGGTTTAAATCAAAATTCTCTGCTCTTACTCCAGGGTTGCAGTCAGAACTGGTCGAAGTGTGGAGCAATTACTTGACCCAAGATGTTCTAGTATCGGGGTTCCAATCGAAGGATCTTCAACTCGTCACCTATTATCCCCAGCTCTTCTCGCGGCAGTTTGGTTTGAGTCAGACTTTACCCTTTTTCCCCCTCGATACCTCCTCAAGGTCCAAATTAAGTGAATCAAATGTTGGACGAGAACTTGCCAAACTGTTGCCACAAAACCCGATGCATTTTTATCCTTATACTTTTGAGTCAAATTATTTGTCTACTTTTGGTTTTTCTCAGTGGTGGACCGATTGGTTTTCAAGCATTCATTCTAATTTTGATATAGTCCAATCGAAATTGACTACGCGTCCTTCTCTCGTGTTGCAGGACAAATCAAAGACGAAGAAAGGTACATACTCTCATTATCTCCAAATATCTCGATTCGAAAATTTTTATCGAGCATGCTACAACCCCCTGAAATTAGAAGAGACCTTTTATAATGTTGTTATCTCCCTAGTTAATAAAACAGACACTAACCGATCAAATCACAAAATAATCAATCCTCGAGGAAAAACCACGTTTGAAATGTATTGTCCCAACCATCTTCCCACTTTCCCTTCAGCTCTTTTTGGACTCGTCAAACCTTTAACTCATCCTAAATGGGTTTGAGAGTTAAGATCCTTGAAAGAAACTCTTTCACCTAAACCCAAGAATAAAGAGATTTTGATATCAAAACTGTCCTATTTCCCTTACCTAAACCTTTCTCAAAACCTTCTTCCTCCCTGGCTTGTCCATATCGACCGAGTCAAGATTTTAACTTCATCACCCTTTGGTGAGATTTTACTGCCTCTTTTGAGAGTGTTTTTAATTTTCTTTAAATTGTAATCTAATTGTTTTCATTTCTCGACAGCTTCTCAACCTCATAAGTCGTCGCCTCCGAGAAAGACTGGCAGTCTTCGGATGAGTTGGATCCATCGGCCCCCACTCGAAAGCGCAAACATTCTGCCACCATTTCCTCATCTTCAAAAAAAATCGAAGGTTTCTTTTCGATTCCTTATTATCTTATTTATTCAACTTTCTTTGTCTATAGCTGATTCACTTCTCATTTCAGAAACAAAAATCGAAGAAGAGTCCTCGAGCCGTTCAACCACCTACCATAAATCCGTTATCGACGGACTCTAACACGATCAGCAAAGCGGGTCAAACGACATTTACCACTCATTCAAGTCACGTAAGACCCCTTTTCACATAAATTTTGTATATCTAGAATTCGACAAGGCCCATAACATATTTCCAAATTTCGATATTTTCAGGACCATCCATCAGCTACGATATCGACGAATGTCGATTCTTTACTTCAATTATCAACACCCATTCTTGAGGTACAGTTCTTATATGTACATTTTTTATTCAACTTACTTCACACACTTCCTTTTCTAATCCTTATTTCGATTCACAGCAACCCGAGGCTATACAACATCCCTCTCCTGCACCAATGCCTCTCGATCCACCTTCCCCTAGTAATAATTTCTTCCTTTACTGCTCAATTCTACTTCAATTTTTATTAAGATTTTTCGATTCATTCCCTCAAATCATTTCCTCTCCAGTAAATATCCCCGTAGTCCAAGTTCAAGATTCCCCTCCACCAATTTTTTTAGAGCAACCGGCTTCCCCCCCTTTTGCGATGCCATCTGTCGAGTTGCTCTCGTCATCACTGTCCGAAATAAGCGCTCCTACTCCAGAGGATTTGCCAGAATATCGAACTGCTATCGAAGAAGATCATTTCTCAATCCTCGATATTTTGTTGTCTGAAGAGGCCACTCCTTCGAGCCATTCATCCAAACCACCCACGATATCGACCGAGGAAACGCACCAACTGATCCAACGATTTAGGTCTTTCTTCTACTCTTCGCCCCTGGAAGTCTTGGTGGAATCGCACGAAAAGAAACAATTTTTCCAAGAAATTATCACTTCCATCGAAACGTTCCCTGATGATGCTCTACCGAAGAGTTTCGATGCTGAAGTCGCAGCGGCCACCGACTTGTTCAACAGAGCTTATGCTGCAAGGAAGAAAAAGCAATCTATAGCGACCGAGTTAACTGACATTTCTTCCTTCCAGATTGAAAAATTGAATTTACTAAAAACTCAAAAGCTCAATATAGAAGAGGCGTTGACAGCCCGATCTTCGGTCAACAATGAGATCGAAGAGTTGGAGAAGAGACTTCATCAACTTAGGTCGCAGGAGGAGTTCCTCACCTCAGAAATAAATTCGATCAAG